GACGATAATGCTGGACCTCACAGAGCAAGAGTTGCTTTGGATTTTCTCATGCCGCAGAAGATAAAGTTTCCCTTAACCTGTAAAAATCACCAGATCTCTCACCTATTGGACATTTGTGGGATGAACTGGGACGCAGGGTTCGAGACAGACCACAGCCACCAACAAACCTACAGGACAAATCCTCCAAGAAGAATGGCGCCAAATTCCAAGGGAAACAATTCGGAATCTGATCTCAAGCCTGTCCTGAAGATGCCAAGCATGCATTGATGCCCGAGGCAGATACTGACTTTTGCCCACACAATGTCAAAATGTAGTTCCAATAAAACCCAACATGACCAAAAATCAAAGTGTTCCCTTATATTTTGTTACTAGTATATTATCGGACATTTAGGGAGACATTGTATCTCAGTGTTGTTGAAGTTTAAGGCATCTTTTTCCTTTCTCTGTTTCCAACTCATAAACATGCTGGCTTCATTCAGGGGAGTCGGGAGTTTTTGGTTTGGCCGGATTAAAAACAATACCACTATCTATATTCTCTATACCATACTTGGATATGATGTATCTGACCAATGTATCTGAAGAAGCTGTGTAAGTCTTTCCTAGACATGCATATAAGCTGTCAGATGTTCAAAGTTTGATGCAAGTGTCGAATGATTTCAGAAATGAAAAGCTGGATGACACATTAGGAAATATTTCTGTTAATGTACCATTTATGCTAGCTCACTTCTATCAATGGGTGTAAACCACTTTTGTGAGGCCTGAGAGCATGGTTATTGGGGACAAACCTGGGAAAATAATCAGGGGCAATGTGGGTTGAAAACCACTGTTTCTAACACGCCCAGGGGATGCACTGAGAATTAGAGCACCTTTAATGTCGGAGCCATCTGTGCCATGCACTGTGAGACATATAGGTAAAACACTGCATGCCCTGTGCCTGCTTCTGTACAAACTTACTGCATTGTACATCCTGAACAACAGCTGTAAGATGTAACAATGAAAACAAAGCATTTCTAATTCAATTATTTTATCAAAGTATATCTTTGATATCACCATACATCATTGCCCTTTTTGATACACTATGAAACATAAGTAATACAGGAACATAATTTGTTGAAAAACATTCCCAAACAATCAACTGATGTCATGTATGCTGGTATTGCATTATAAGTCATGTCTCTTGTCAGCTAAAATTGCAAAACAATTTGACAATACATCAAAAAGGAACATTACCTTGCAACTCTTTTGCGCCTGAACAAGAACATTGATTCTAACTTCTGTAAATGGCTTAAAAATAAGATGAATTCAGAATGAACAAAATCCACTATACCTTTAACACTGCATGTTGTTCCATGTGTCTTAACCACTGTGTGCCCATTACGACAAACGATAGCATATCCAACTTTATCTTCAGAAACGTTTTCTAACAATTACTTATATAATTTTAAAAGACCGATTCTTTGATCATAATTTAAAAACAAGTATAAATTTCTGACTATATTTTCTTTGGACGTATACATAATTACAACCCCTATATTTTCAGACTTCTTCACATTTTTCTCATGTGGTAAAATATAGTGAGAATATATATTCGGATACTATATCATATTTTTTTATTTCAATGGAATCAACCTTAAATCATTTCCTTTTATTGCCGCATAAAAACTATAAATCAATAAAAACCTAACTCGGCACATTAATCATGAAAAATAAATTTGACGCAACAGTTCATTTTCCAAAACAAACTTAAAAATCAACTAGGGTTTTCAACAATCACAAAACTAGAAAATATTTTTGACATAAGCTGACAGATGTACCATATTCAAAGGCAAGTAATAATTACATGTTGAACAATGTGAGTGAGTAAGTGAGTTTAGTTTTACGCTGCTTTTAGCAATATTCCAGAAATATCACGGCAGGGGACACCAGAAATGGGCTTCACACATTGTACCAATGTGGGGAATCGAACCGGGTCTTCTGCATGAATGAAGCCGAATGCTTTAACCACCAGGCTACCCCACCGCCCCAGATGTTGAACAAAAGTCATATAGACATTAATACTCTATAAAGTATAAATATAACTTGAGTCTGTTATATAAAGAACACAATAGTGAAAACCAGTTTGTTCTAATGTGAAAGAACAATGAGAATGCTGGAATCAATGTTTTCCATGCATCAAATTAGAATTATAGCAGTAATTTAGATAATTATTTAATACAACACATTGCAAAGTAATCAGTCTAATGACATATGAATATGCTTCAACATGTTCATAAAAATGGAAACAAATTAAACAACTATGACCTACAAAATATTCAGCTGTGGTCTTTTGTCTAAACTAATACAAACTGTCAACAATCTCATAAAAATACAGATAAATTGTTTTCATGAAACATGTAAAGTTCTACAGAATAAGGTCTCAAGGACATAATTATTACATTCATATTGCACCATCTTTGATCAACACAGGTTTCAACTGCCTCAATAACCCAACCCTCGGGGAGAATTTGTAGTGTATTCAGGATAATCGTGATCTGTTCTGATTGTTGAACAGTATGTGGAGCATGTCTGCTTGAATAATGATTTTGTGTTCACGTCACATAACGGCATACATTGAGTCAGTCTATTGGTAATATGTAGGGATGAAGCACACAATCTCAGTCTAAGAATCGCATTGTTAGTGCCCTGTATCAAACAGTGTATTAGATACCACAGGCAGCCCACTGATAACAGCCAGTATGAATGAGAGCAGTGCTGCAACATTCTTTATGATGTCACTGCATTGTATCTTGAAGTGTGATGTCATCGCAGTGTTTATTACAAATGGAATGTCAATGCATGAATGATAAAATTTGGTAATTGTGCATGTTTTTATCCATTTGCAAAACATTTCACACATTTACATATCGAAAAAATATTTACCTGAAATATTAGAAGTTTCAGTCATATTTTGTTAATATTAAGACAAATTCAATCAGTTAGTGCACAGATGTTGGTTTGAGAGAGGTTTGTTTACCGCCAATAGGGACAGTTTTCAAGTTATTTCACAGCATGTCAAGACCCATGAAGATCTGGAGCCCCTTTCACCAAACAACCTTTACTAAGGTTAGCCTTAACTCCCATTCTTTAACATTGCACTAAGGTTACCTTAGTGACTTACGATCACCTTAGTGCTTTGTGAAAGGAGGCCCTGGCTTAGAATTGATCTTCAGCAACCCATGCTTGTCGTAAGAGGCAACTAACTAATAGGCTCGCTGACTTGGTTGACATGTCATCATATCCCAAATGCGTAGATCAATACTCATGCTGTTGATCACTGGACTGTCTGGTCCAGACTCGATTATTTACAGACAGCTGCCATATAGGTGGAATACTGCTGAGTGCAGCATTAAACAACACAGCGACCAAACACAATGTGTTAGCTGTATGTGGGAGGAAAGCTGATGCTGGTCACTGATAAATAACCTAAATGGTATGGGGCTGACAAACAAAGCAACATGGTCAAGAAAATCTGGGACTTGAACACATGAGCATTGGCTTATTACAAGTCTAAAGGGACATAAATCTGCAGCTTACATGACCTAGCCAAACATCTTGTATTGAAGGGTTATTTGGTTTGTCAACTCCCTTATGTATTTCTAACATGAAAAGTAATGGTAAATTATTCAGAAAAATGAGTGAGTGAGTGAGTGAGTGAGTGAGTGAGTGAGTGAGTGAGTGAGTGAGAGTGAGTATAGTTTTACGCTGTTTTTAGCAATATACCAGCAATATCACATCGGGGGACACCCAAAGACAAACTGGGATAAAACCCATGATGACAGGTTCCTGGCACACCTAAGGGACACAACTCTGCACAGTGGGTAGACTACAGGCCACTAGTGACCCAAATTGTCTGAGAGAGGCCATATTAACTGCCGTGTTACTAGTACTGTACTTGTCTTACATGGAAAAGTTATTACGATATCAAAATAGACTTATAATCTACTTCATTCTTTTTCAAAACGTGATAAGGAACTAGTATGTATATATACTTCCGAGCAGGAGAACACCTCAAGTACAGCTCAACACAGATATAAACTCTCAAACAAATAACAATCCTAAATAGATCCTTATCAACAAAATATGTGCAAAAAACAGCAGATACTCTTTGATTGTCCACCATAGAAGGCAAACACTACAACTGACAAAAAATATGTATCAAACTCTCACCATAACAATACATATATTACAAAATGTTTGTAAACAACATTTGTAGAAGCAGTTTTCTTGTAGCAGTATCACATTTAAAAAAGATGTGCCATGAATGTTGCGATTGATGGCAGTTGTCCTTGACCGTGGTCAACACATGGTCAACACAACAACACAATCAACTGTACAAAATACAATAAATTACTGGTATTGTACAAATATATATACTGACTATTTACAGTTGACAGGGAAATAATTTCCAGAATGATGTAATAATCACAGGAGAGCAGCTGTCAAGTTGTAGTACTTCAGCACAAAACCCAGTATTAAACAAGGTGATCAATGTCACCTGATGTCCAATGCTAAATCATATTGATCAATCGGTCATTAAATCAACACACATCAGATACAACATTCTCAAATATGAGTGAGTGAGTGAGTGAGTTAGGTTTTGTGCCGCTTTTTGCAATATTCCAGCAATATCACGGCGGGGACACCAGAAATGGGCTTCACACATTGTGCCCATGTGGGGAATCGAACCCGGATCTTATGCGTGATGAGCGAACGCTTTACCACTAGGCTACCCCACTGCCCCTTCTCAAATAAGAAATCCAGAAAGTTTGATGTTTGGACATATGTTTCAGACAAACCAAAATCCATCTTATATTAATCAATCGCTTGAAATGGATTGTTTTCAGAAAATAACAAGTTATGATGTCTTGAAATCTCAGTTTCAAGGCGAAATTAGGAGAGCTTTCCACCACTTTTAGCAATGTTCCAGTACAATCACACTGCATCGATGTTAGGAACCATGATAATAATAATGACATAATAATGATATTTCCATTATATTTTGCTCAGATTGATGTTAAAAAAATTGTACATATTTCTTAAATGTGGTAGTTTACCAAATTTCAGTGAAAGTTCAGCATAAAAGAGAAATCTCTTACAATCAAGATTTTGATATTTCAGTAGTAAGATGTAAAAGGAAAATACTAATGATTTCAATATGACCATACTCGCATGTTTACAGACATGATTGTTTAATTTGTTTATTCAGAGTGAGCATTGGAAATACTGGTAATATATAACGTTTATACTGCAAAAGATGTAAAAATAATATTAAAAAGCTGCTATGAAACGTTCAGTATTTCACAGCCAACCATTACTTAGTACCCCTGATGATGTCAATGTTGCTCAATCATGTTTAATACTGACACCAGGAATGGAATTCCCAGATAATACAGAAACTTTGATAAATGCTACAAAAAAATAAATAATAGAAGTAGCATTTGCATGTCCAATGTAAATTAATCTGTTGTATGGTTTCCTTTCAAGAATTAATACTGTGAATACCATTCCGTATGTGAAGGGTCTCATTCTCTCTAAATCCAACATGCTATTGATAACCAGAGTGCAGTTGTACAAAGCAACCTTAGCTTTACGACTGTTGTGTCTGTGTTAAGGTATGGGACTTATGATCACCTTAGCGCTAAAATCGCTTTGTACAATGGCACCCAGGTCATCAAACAGCCAAAAGGCACATGGTTAAGTAAGACATCTCTCAGGTGTTCATGGACGACAGCTGACATCCATTGTTCATCAGTTAAAATTAGCTCGTCATAATTAACATAATCTGCTTATCAGTTAATATCAACAATGCACCTGTCTGTCAACAACAGCTGATCATCAGTTGACATCAACACTTCAATGTTAACATCAGTTGTTCAGTTAACATCAGTTATTCATACGTTTAAATCACCTATACAACAGTTACCATCAAATTTCAAGGTTAACATCAGTTATTCATCCATTAATATCAGCTGTTCATCAGTTGTTCATCTGTTAATATCAGCTGTTCATCAGTTGTTCATCTGTTAATATCAGCTGTTCATCAGTTGTTCATCCATTAATATCAGCTGTTCATCAGTTGTTCATCCATTAATTAGCTGTTGTTCATCCATTAATATCAGCTGTTCATCAGTTGTTCATCCATTAATATCAGCTGTTCATCAGTTGTTCATCCATTAACAAGCTGTTCATCAGTTGTTCATCTGGTAATAGCAGCTGTTCATCAGTTGTTCATCCATTAATATCAGCCATTCATCAGTTGTTTATTCGTAAACATCAGCTATTCATCAACTTCACTGCTGAGCAGATAACAAACATTTCTGAAGTCAGTATCAGATGTTCAGTCATGTCTGTGATGAACCTGCTGTTCACCAGTTACCATCCCATGTTGTGTTGTACTGATGTTCACATTTCTACATGGAGGAAGGGACAGAGCTGCATGAGTTTGTCAACACTCCGGACACTGGTGCACCCATACAGATGAAGTGTCTTTAATCTGTGGAAAAATACATGTATCTTGTTAACAAGTGGGCATACATCGATTGTTTGTTCCTGAGTTAGTTTGTTTTACGTCAATATTCCAGCAATTTCAAGACACTGGACACTAAAAATGGGTTTCACATATTGTACCCATGTGGGGAATCGAACCTGTGTCTTCAGTGTGACGTGAATGCTTTAACCACTAGGCTACTCCTCCATCCCTCCTAAGTGATGGTGATGAGTGAGTGAGTTTAGTTGGTGATGATGATGATAATGAGGCTGATGCTGCTGCTGCTGCTGCTAACACAGCATTTACTCCATTACCTTGAGTGTGGTATGGTACATCTATTATATATTCAGCTGTATTACTTCAGCATTTTTGCAAATAATGGTATTTATATATTTCAGATATTTGAAAATTATTTCTTGCATTCTTTCAAATTAATAAAACAATCACCTTCATTAATGTAATTTACAATTATACGTCTCATTTTAGGCTGCATAAGATATTTACGTAGTTATAAGTTAAGTAACATCATTAAAGCTCCTCTGTTTTGTTAGGCTATTCCCACTGGGTCTGTCCACTTCAATGAAGGGTACACTGGAAATCTTTGGTGGTCAATCAAAGTAGAAGCCGAGGCATATTCCTGATTGGTTAGCTTTGAATGATCAGAGTCCAACTTTAAACCCTTTGTTTAAACATCTGCACTGACACTTCACACTGCACAGGGAAAGAGAGAGGATCAGGAATTTATAGGTTAGTACTTACAGGTATTACTGCGTTCTATTTGTACCAGTGTAATACATACTGTAGATCACTTTAGGTAAAGTTACCTCAACAGGATGTAACACATGATAGTGTTTGTTTACTGGAGACATTTCATTAACTGTATGTGTATTCGTGCTGGTCCATGTGTTAGTTGGTTGCATTGTTTTAAAATTGATTTGTAATAGCTTAAATATATTGTTTATATGCTACCAATCAAAACGTTTAGACTCACCAGTGCTAATATAGCCAGTTACTTCAGTCAACTGTTCTAAACTAGATTTTGCAAAATATTCCATACTGTTTTCAGGTACTTGTAACACATAATTTGATGTTTTGTAAAAAATATCGTAATGTTGAAAAAAATATTTTCATGAGTTCAATAAATGATGAAAGTCGGTGAAAACTGGCAATTTCTTAACTAAACTTTACACCAAAACACAGCTGTTCACATGCATGATATCTGCACATGCTTTGGAAAGAGTTCCTTCTGTTCCCCCAACCCTAAACCTAACTCTAACCCTAAACCTAACCCTAAACCTAAACCTAACCCTAACATAAATCTTGGACTTTTAGTCATTTTGTGAGTTCTCTAGTTATTGTTGTGTTTAGTTTTGTTAATAATTTTAGTATATTTATAAATATTATTTGGGATGGGGGAACGGGAGGAACTCTTACCCATGTTTTTCATCAATTCTATGCATGCTCCTCAAACAATTCATCTGCATATGGTTTGCAGTTGGTTCCCCCAAGTTAAACTTTTGATGGGTAGTATATATGTAACTAGGAATATATAAACATACACATTCTTTGTGTCATCACAAATATATGTATCTGATAATATGAGGAATTAAGTAAAATATTATGGTTATTGCACCATATTTATATATATGTAAATGTTAAAATGATGTGTAATAAATAAAATGATATACCTAAGCCTAAGGTTATAGAATAGTACATAATAAATATCTTTTCAGAGTGATAGACGGTAAGACTTCCATCCGTATCCCCTCTAAATTTTAATGATGAGGATAAATTTCTTTGAGAGGCATTTTCAGAAGCTGGATATGTCTTTCAGTATGTTCAGATACCATTAAAGAAATATGCTAAAACTCATCCTTATCAGAGGAGGAATATATATTCAGTTGATATGATTTGACTAGAATGAAATGTTAAGGGGGATACAAGAGGAAGTCTTTCCTGTACGCAATTGGGAACCGATGACATGTGTCAACCAAGTCAGCGACCCTGACCACCCGATCCCGTTAGTCGCCTCTTATGACAAGCATGGGTTACTGAAGACCAATTCTAACCCGGATCTTCACGGGTCTTAGCAATGCTAAGTTGACACCCTAGCCTATGTCATCATGTTTTACAACACATGGACACATGTCTGGCTACCACACCTGTAACATGGAAGTACTCACTTCTTGCAGTTTTTTCACCAGCTTCTGTAGGCAGGCCTCAGTGATGTCAGCGAGGAAGTTGAGCTTCACCGTCTCCAGGTTACGGTTACAGTAGCTGGCCAGAAGCGTCACACTGGAACACAAATTAACCATCTGTAGGTTTGCATCGCCTTATTCAGCAGTTGTTTAAGTCCATGCCGCAGATAGCAATATTCACTTGACGGTCACCTGTATCTTATTGAGTGTGGTCTGATGACATGGAGTCTACAGATACTATATCTGCTTACCTGCGATGAGAACATCCAGATGAGCTGATGTCGAGCTGGGTGAGTCGCTGGCAGTTGTTGGCCAGGGTCCGGATGCTGTGATCCGTCACGTTGCGACATCCACAGATGTCCAGACTCCTGAAGGACAACACAGTACACATCATAGATTTAGGAGTACAACTTGATAGGGTAATATGAGTGAGTTTTATGAGTGAAGTTAGTTTTCTGCTGCACTCAGCAATATTCCAGCTATATGGGTGGCGGTCAGGCAAACCAGTAATCAACAGCATGAGCATCGATCTGCGCAATTGGGAGCCGATGACATGTGTCAACCAAGTCAGCGAGCCTGACCACCTGATCCTGTTAGTCGCCTCTTACGACAAGCATGGATTACTGTAGATCAATTCTAACACAGACCTTCACGGGTAAGGTAATATGAAGGATGGATACAGGACTGTACACTGCTACTAGAAGAAGGCTAATGCATTTCAAGCATGATATGTTTTTGTAAAAATGTTGGGTTTCTCAACACCCTCCCCTTGAGTTGATTAAGATTAACAAATGATTAAAAGTGCTGAGTGTTGTACTCTTAACCCAACTGTAATGGGATGGGATGTAATGGAAAATATAGAAGTGTAAGGGAAGTAATGCTATTGAAATACAGGCAGTGTATTGCACAATTTTGGCTCAACAAACAAACATGACCTACAATAAGCAAGAATAAGAGTATGACAAAAAGATACAGTTCTACAATATATTGACCCCTCCCTAATAATTCAACTAGTCAATGTGTCCAGTACAAAAGTTGTGTCAAGATCTGTTGTCTTGTGTCCTACATTTTCCTTTGAGGAGTGGTGATGTAGGCCAGTGGTTAAAGCGTTCACTTGTGACGCTAAATACCCGGGTCTGATACCCACATGGGTTCGATGTGTGAAGCCCATTTCTGGTGTCCCCGACCATGCTATTGACGGAATATTGCTAAAGGCGGCGTAAAAACTAAACTCACTCACCATTTTCCTTTGAGCATGGGTACTAAAGGGAGGTAACTACTGGTGGTGAACTTACCGCACATCCATGGAGTATGTGGCTATCTCAATGAGAGCAGCGTCTGATACATGGGGGCAGTTCGCAATGATGATGGTCTTCAGCCGAGGGCAATTCCGCACTATCTTCCTGATACAGTTATCACGGATCTGGAAAAAAACATGCAACACTTGACTTGTGCTTCAAAAATATTTTATTCAAACTGAAATAATAATCACTTTCACAATTTGGTAAGCAGTGTTATGATTGGTCAATTCAAAAGGTTAGCTGGAGCTACCATCTACTGGGGTTTGTAAGATTCAGTACAGTAGTGTAACGAATAATACTTAGACTGTTATTTTAGGTTATTATTAGTAAACTTTGCTCCAGAATGCAACAGCAACATTCTATTCAAGGAGACTCCAGAAGAATAGACCTGTTTTATATTTAGCATATTCTGTATATTTGCACAGCTCTAACTAATCAGGTTCCATTTAAAAATATGCAGGCAGCAGCCCAATAAAACAAGACTGCATTAAATGATACAGAATTAACAAAGAAAAAATTGTTTACTATTGCCTAAAAATTCATTTGTTATACAATGTAGTAGGTAGGGCGTGATATACCGTATATTACCGTAGATAAGCCGATCCCATAGATAAGCCGACCCCCTAGCTTGACCCTTGAAATGAGTGTCAAAATGGTATGTTTCGTACATAAGCCAACCCCCCGCGATGAGTCGCGGCCAACTCACACCACTAGACACTTGGCAGTAATGGATGTAACATCTGGATGTAAAACGTAAGTATGTTTGGTGAAAATAGTATCTACCAGGTAATAAAGATTATACTGACCATTATTCAGGAAACCCGTGTTTTTGTTTTCTTTCTTATAATCCCAACGTTCACTGTAAAACATACACAAGCCGACCCCACGCTATGGCCAGCTCACACCATGAGACATCTGGCAGTTGGATGGAAAACGTAAGTATGTTTGGTGAAAATAGTATCTAATAAAGATCACACTGCCCATTATTCTAGAAAGCCGTGTTTGTTTTCTTTCTTATAATCCCAACGATCACTGTTTGTATGCATCAACAACAAGACGCCATTTTGTGAAGTCGGTGCATGTAGAAATATGAACCCATGAGAAAACGTACCCACCGTAAATAAAACTGAAGTCATTTTTTCATTCAAAACACTATATTACACAATAATACAGAATGAATAATGTGATGATTTGTAAACACTATATTACACATTCACAGTAATTTATATGTCGTCCGCTGTGAATCCCTCAAACTCTGTGTCACTGTCTTCTCCAGCCAGTGCCTGCCATGCCAATTCATCCGTGTTGTCGTCGTAATTGTCTTCTAAATGTTCACATGCAAGGACGTCATCTTCGTCAGCTCTGGTATCATTGGTGATGAATTCTTCAAATAGGGCCTCGTCCTGTGATCCATCCATCGCATTCGAGATTCCACACTTGAGGAATGATTTTTTAACCATGTCCTTTGGAATCTCATCCCAGGATTCCTTTACCCATTTCGCAACTTCAGGGAGAGGCGCGCTCTCCTCATGGCGTTTGATTTTGTGAATGTGTGATCTCCATCCACCATCCATTCAGCCCACTTCTTCCGAATGTTCATCTTAAAGGGCTTGTTGAGTGAGATGTCAAGTGGCTGTAAAAGGGACGTGCAGCCGCCAGGTATAACGGCCTGGTGTGTCTTATTGTCTACTAATCTCTTCTTCACGGACGCGCACAAATGGGCCCGGAACATGTCCCATACCAGGAGCGACTTGCATCCTCGGAGGCTACCTGGTCTTGTACACCACACATCCTCGATCCATCTGTTAATCAACGCCTCATCCATCCACCCCTTTTGGTGTACGGCCACAATAACCCCGGTCGGGAATCTGTCCTTCGGCATGGTTTTCCTTTTGAATACTATCATGGGTTTCAGTTTAGTGCCATCCGCCATACATGTCAGCACTACCGTGAAATGTTGCCTTTCATTTCCAGTTGTTTTCACAGAAATTGTCTTCGATCCTTTCACATCCACGGTCCTAGAGCCTGGCATGTCAAAGTTCAGCGGCGTTTCATCCATATTTCCTATTTGTGAAAGATCGTAGTTGATTGCCTTCCGTTCTTTAATTACGAATGCATGGAATAAATCCACCTTTGTATTCACCTGATCCGGGAGTTTCTGGGCAATGTGAGTCCTCTGCCTTAATACCAAATTTCTCCTGTTCATGAAACGTGAACACCATGTTGACGACGCTTTAAATGACAAAGGCAAACTCAATTCTTCTTTCTTGGCCTTGTAGACTGTCAATGCGCGATGGCGAATCATGTTTCTCGTGACGATTAATCCAAGTTGTCTTTTCTCCAATATCCACTCAGCCAGGATATCTTCAAGCTTAATGAAGGGGGATACAGTATATCTCCTTGCTTTCTTGTTCTTAGGCATCTGGTATGTCTTCAGATATTACATGATAAATTTTCACAAAATGTGGAAAAATCTTACAAGTAGGCACCAGAGACAAGCTGGGGAATGAAGTGAGATGACACAACCTACCTGTTTACACCCCCGAAGGTCAAGGTTTTCGACTCGGCCTAGGCTGGCAGACAGGTGTGTGATGGAAGAATCAGTCAGCTGAATACAAACAAAGGGTTACCATGACTACAGAAAGGGAGAAGTGAGTATGACTCGACATTGATGATCTCATATACAGCTAGCCAATGTTCAGCATTAATATTTCACAGGTTTTGTATATGCTCATTCCTCTTTCACTAACTTTGGGTAGTGACACAACTAATGTAATGTGGAACTCATGAGAAAACAAAGGAGCCCTACAACAAGCATGAACTTTGTATGAATGCAACCATTGCCTGAGTAGAAACTTTACAGCAGACAGATGAAAGCATGTTTCATATTTCACAATCATCATCCATCAGTGGGAAGGACACCTCATTTCTGAGGGTTCAAATGTGAGGGTTATGTACACACCCGGAAGCACTGTCCAAGGTTGATGGTGAGGAGGTTGGTGCAGTGGGTGGCAATGCAGCGGATGCATCGTGGAGTCAGGTTGAAGCAGCCGAACAGCTCCAAAACTCGAAGGCTGGAAAAACAACAGCACTTAAAATTATTCCCTGTGGGATCAGTGACAATGCTGACAATTTTTAGAGACTAGTGCATTGGTATCTGGCTCATATTTTGTTATGGCCACACAATGTCAATTTCAATAAAGCAACAGGGCTCTGCAGGTATTAAAATGTCGGTAATATTACAAGATCATAAATAAGTGAATCCGTTTAAATGTCAGCATGATGTTGGTTTGTTGTGCATGGATAAACGCGCAATATAAATGGACTATTAGTATTATTATTATTATTGTTTAACACTGCACTCAGCAATATTCCAGATATATGGCGGTGGTCTGTAAATAATCCAGTCTGGACAAGACAATCCAGTGATCAACATCATGAGCATCGTTATACATAACTGATGTGGTAGGAAAGGCCAATGTAAGGCAGATTCCACACAATGACCAGCATGGGTACCGTGCTGACTCTTCTAGAAACATAATCCAAAATAACATGGGACTCCTTCCTGCGAGGTGACATGACTGGACTAATTGCGCCTCATTTAATAAACGTTATAGTTGGTTCATATGAATGAAATTTCAATGACTGACAACACATTGTTTTTGCCCCCATGTAAACATCCTGTTCTACAGGTGCCACACCCACCTGGATCCATGCTTCTTGATGACTGTCTCCACACCTTCGTCAGACAGCATCTGGCAGCCGTTGAGACACAGCGACTGCAGCCTATAACACAGAGGCTATGTACAACACATGTATAGCCACAAGATCAAAGCAGCAATTTATAAATAAAAGCTCTGGTGCGAATGTCATAATTTTGAGTGTCAAATAAAAACATACTGGATAATGAGTGAGTGAGTTTAGTTTTGCGCCACTTTCAGCAATATTCCAGCAATATTACGGCGGGGGACACCAGAAATGGGCTTCACACATTGCAACCATGTGGGGAATTGAACCCAGGTCTTCGGCGTGACGAACACTTTAACCACTAGGCTACCCTGCCGCCTCTGGTGGTGTCAGCAATACACACCCATCCAACAACTGAGCCTTAGACTCATACTGTGACCATCCAATCCTCATTTCCCACCTCTTGCAAAATGCATGGGATCTATTCCTTGGTCAAATATAACACACAAAATATCCTGTTGTACACCTACCTGTGAGCACTCTCTGACAGAGCTGTGAGGCCATTATCGGTGACATGACACCAGCTAGCGTCGACGTGTGTCAGGTGACGACACCGCGCCGAGGCATGTAGCAGGATGCTGTCACCGGTCAGGCCTCCACGGCTGCACCGGCTGAAGTTCAGCTCCTGGGACACAAACATGACTCATTGTACATCTATATCATACATCAATACAGTGGTTAAGTCACTAAGAGGAAAGTTTCACTAACAGAGAAGGAATAAGTTCCAGAATCTGAAAGTTCGATCTTATCATGTTAGGAGAGGTGAAATGGGGTGTGCATGTGTGTGTGTTTGGCAGTTTGGACACTTGCGAGTTTCACGGAGCTAGCCCACTGAGATACCATAGTTGAAAATGGATATCCCAAACGGACAAACTGCAGACAAGCAGGGTATAATTAAAGGTCTCTACCACTCCAAATACGCCTATCTGTATAAGCATTTCCCAAAACTGATTTAAAAATCTGAAGTCAAACTATGAAATTCATCAATAAAATACACTTATTTCACTTAAAAAAATAAAGCATTTCTCTAACAAGGTTATAGAAACAAGGCATTGTCAAAGCTAAGAGTTTTGAAGTGTTCTTCAACAGCAGACCCCCCTGCTGGAGGTGTGTCCATTATTTATCAAAGAAATCTACCTTCAGATCGTCTATACACTCCCTGAAGAGCTCTCGGAGGCCTTTAGCTGTGACGCTGTCACCATGACACTGGATGAGTGCCAGTGAGACTGGGTGCCTCTTGGCAATCTGGGCCAGCCACTGATCACATATAGCATGGTTCTTCTTCACTGTGATGTGCTTCCCTGCAGCAGAAACATCTTGCATCATAACAAGTTCACGCTCTTCACATCCAGAGTGTCACAGTTTTTACTTTTGATTTCGTGTGTAACACTCATACTTCGCATACAGAATTCACAGTCATTCAAATTCAATCACTGATTTTCATTTCTGTCATTAAAAATTGCATAAAAGTTACACAAAATGAATCCTCTATCATGATATGTTCTTTAGCAACCCATTCTTTTTGTAAAAGGCGACAGACAGAATCAGGTAATCAGACTCTCTGACTTGGTTGATGCATGTCATTGAATCCCAATTATGTAGGTTGATGATTCATAATGTCAATCACTGGATTGTTTGGTTCAGACATTATTATTTGCAGATCGCGCTCATACAGATATTGCTGAGTGCAGCGTTAAACAACAAACACACTTAATCAAAACTTTAGAAATTAAGACATATTTCACATATTTAATTGTCTAGTGGACAGCGTATTTGTGTAACTCTGCCCATGCAAAGACAGCTTTACTCACAGAGGCTGTCATCCACGGACATGCGACAGAACTGTTTGCAGGCAAGCGCCACCCGCGCCAAGTCACTGTGCGGTAGGAAGGAGAAGATGTAGAGCCAGATCTCGTCCGGCAGACACTGCCACTTGGAAAATTCCCCCTCTTCTATACGTGGAGTCTATTGAGGAAACGAGTGTCTAGTTAAACACACTACTCTATCAGTCTCACTAGCTGTGTAACCTTCAGATTTATCATTATTATTATTGGATATTTATATAACGCACATATCCGCATGCATGCTCAAGGCGCTGGTATTTCTTCCCTCAATCATTGGATGTCAATCTCAACGGCGCACCAAGTTATTGTGGCTTTGGCTTTCCCATCCTTATGAGGTTGAAATTGTGAAAATTTGAAGGCAATAAGTACTCCTAGAGATGGGTTTAAATGCTTTAAACAGTATTTGTATCAGCTATCAACCAGTGTGGGAATTCATGATGCAGGTTGATGCTTACCACTATTAAGGAGCTCCCCAGAATGAGTAGGGTGCTGACAGAGTAAGGATCATAATTAGGGGGTGCGGTGGGCAAGCTGGCTAAGGCGCCAGGCTAGTGATCCAGCAAGGTTGAGGTGTCGGGATCAAGTCCACCTGTGACCGGGTGTAAAAACCTTGGAGTCAACTTTGTGTGCAGACTCTTTCATTGTTGTCACAACCCCTAGTGTACAGTACACAGCCCTGTGCACTTAAAAGAACCCACGAAGCCGTTGGTATATGACCAGATGGTGGCCACATAAATACGTGCAAACACCTAGGTGCGGGTACAGCAACGTGCAGTAAACTTGCACAAATACTGTGACTATGTGTCCCAGTCCACCCAACTGTGAATGGGTACCTCGTTAGGATGAGAAAGCCACAATAACTCAGTGCGCCTAGTGGCAGCAAGAGTTGTATACTCCCCAGGGAGTTGAGATTGATAATACGATGTGCCGTTGAGATTGACATCCAATGATCGAGGGAAAAATACCAGCGCCTTGAGCATGCACCAGTTGCGTGGATATGTGCGCTATATAAATATACTATAAAATAATAATAATTAGAGTATGTAGGAATCAAACAAACAATGAACTGAAGCCTAAAGGATGCAGGTCTGTTCAGAAACTGCAGTATCTCTGAGTCTCACATCATCAGATATATTCAGATACATACCATCTCCATGTACATGTTGTAGGCTGTGATGGCAGCGGAGGGACCTGTACCAGAGAGAACAACCATTTACTGTGAAGCAAGTTTTGAAATGACAGATCCAATTAATTGATATGATTGAGACAATCCTTGTAGTACACTTTGGTAGATGAATCAATTGCACTAAAAAAAAAAAAAACACACAGAGGAACGAAGTAACATAATCAGGGCGAATCTTGGATTTGAACTCATGATGACAGATTTCTGATAGGCCAAAGGGACATAACTCCACTAATTGCACCACCTGATACAACTCAGCTGTCTTATAGCAATGTAACAATAGCCTGTTAATGGGTGAACTGATGCGGATTGACTTTGGTGACACACAAGAATTTTACATCTGACCTAGATCAGGAATAAGTTCAAGCACTGTGTGTATGTACAAACCCTGCAGTGTCCTGGCCATGGGGGGCTGGGGATCCTCCTGGGGCAGTCTGTGGGCGATGACGCTGGTCTGGGACGGGCTGAGGTTAGGGGGGTCAGTATCCCTGACCCGGGGCTGGTGGTTTCCTCTCACCTGGGCACTTGTTGGTCTCACGCTGGACTGCACTTTCCTGGACAAACACAGTGCAGTACAGTGAGTGAGTATTTAAACAGTATTCCAGCAACATCATGGCAGGGGACACCACAAATGGGCTTCACACATTGTACTCATGTGGGGATCGAACAAGGATCTTTGGCGTGACGAGCGAACGCTTTAACCACTAGGCTACCCCACTGCCCCACTATATGCACAAGATGTAGAATCCATGATGAGCATGACAACATGATGTGGTAATACTGTGGATCCTTGATTATCCGGGATATAAAACCTCCACTCTATCGTGATCAATACCCTGGACTCATTTGCCACCAGAGCTTCATGAATGTATGAATATTTGAATAAGTGACTGAGTTTAGCTTAATGCTGCTTTTAGCAATATTATCATGGCTAGTGATACCAGAAATGGCCTTTACTCAATGTACCCATATGAGGAATCAATCCCGGGTCTTCGGAGTGGTGAGAGAACGCTTTAACCACTAGGCTATTTGAATAAAATATCTCCAAATTGATCCCCACACGTTTGTTCAACACATAACAGCATTGCTCACCTTCGATACAGGTCTGCACTTGCTGGTCTTGACTTCTTGTGTGTCTGCATGACACCCCTTCCCTCAGGTCTTTGTGAGTCTGCTGCCACCATGTTCTCCTTCTTGGTGGAACACTTCACTCGAGGGTCCTGCATCATGAAGTTCTTCATCGACGACCTCGTGCTCAGCTCCCGGGGTGAAAGGAGGACCATGCTATACTGGACTTCTCCCAGTGCCGCTGATACGGCTCAGCTTCAATAGACTCTCTCACAATACTCCTAGTCATTCTCTTCTTTTCAAGATCAGCACTTCGAGGGCGCTGGCATTCTGGCCTGCTGGAATTGCTCCTCATGGCAAGGATATGGGCAAGAAAACTGGGGTCTTGTGAAGGATTTCCTTCATCTGAGTTATCTGCCCTTGGGGTCTCAAAATCGTCTTCTTCTGGAGGAACTTCTTGAGGAAGGTCTGGACTCTCTTCAGCAGGATTGAGTTGCTGTGATTCATTCACAGAAGACCAGTCATCTGTGTCTATGGAGAAACTGACTGGCTGAGTTTTCATTGCTAACCTCCTTGCTTTGATGACCTCTTCATCATCACTGCTGTCATGGAGATCGAGGCAAGGAACGACGGGGGCATTGCGGCTGGACGTTCGACTCTCTCGGCTGTCTTCGATGCCAAAAATCTCGACATCAATATCACCATGGCTTGGGTATTTCTTGCCTCTGACCCTTTGATGATTGGCTGGTGAAGATTCAAAGTTTTCTGATGATTGGAGGTTAAGAATAACCTCACCATCCGAGAGATCATTGTCAACATCAGCCTTGGGTGTTACTTCATCAGCCTCTTGTTCTTTCTCATCTGTTTCTGCATCAACATCATCATCAGCTTTGGCCTTTCTACTAAAATAGTTCTTGATGAAGCCTCTGATTACTGGATCGTTGATAACCTCACAAAGATCATTAATTTCCTGAGGAGATCGGATATAACTACCAGGAGCACTTGTACCTGTGCTTGGTATTGCCAGATCTTGCTTGGCTCGCTCTAGCTGTTTCACGTGACTGTCCATCGGGGATGGCTTTGTCACACTGACTTTCATGTCGGAGTCGTGTCGATAGGAGAGGATCTCGGGTGAAATGGAAATGCTTTTTCGTGTAGACACCACAGACCCTGCTTGCTCAGTTGAGTTTTCAGGCTTAACCTCCACTTTCTCCTTCCTGTCTGCATTTTCCTTCCTTCTCTCCTTCCTCCTTGCTACAATGGCCTCCACCCCGATCAGTATTTCCCCACAGTCAGCACACCAGGACATGTATTCCTTGTTCCATGAGGCACATCCAGGACAGACCTTCACCTTCTTACGCTTCTTCTGCCTGTCATCCTCGTCACCTTCTTTAGCAGCATCCTTGGACTTGATCTGACCTAACGTCTATCCCAAGCCTTTCAAGCCTGTCCGTGATTCCACCTGCCTTGATACTTGTGGCGGTAACGCTGGTGAAGGCATCTTCGTCAACTGCATCTTCATCCCCAGCATCATCAGCTACTTCTCGATCTTCAGGTTCATCTTCTGGGGTTTCCTCAGCATCCTCTTCAGTCTTTTGGAGACTGCCTTGAGGGGAGGTGGGTCCCCTGTATAAGTTTTCCAAAGAAGAGAAATACCTGTCTAAAGATGCCTGGGCAAACTTCTTCTGTTTCTCCATGTGAAACACTTCATTCATTTTGTCTTCTTGCATCTGGCGTCTGAAACAAATTTGAAAGCAAAGACTTTATGAAAAGTTAAATCACCCTTTGTTCTTCCATTCAGTGTTGTTTTATGCCACTGTCAGTAATATGCCAGCTATATAAAAACAATCTGTAGATATTCAAGTCTGAAACAGACAACCTAGTAATCAGGGCATAATGACCAATTATTAACCAGTCCACAGAGCCTGACCATTCAGTTGCTGACTACATTTAGGACTCAGAGCTCCAGATAAGATTTAGCTCATGTGGGTACTGTACCCACTGTATTTTTTGGGAGTGGTATTATGAATGTTGAATGGGAATTTCATTTTCCGTTACCCACTGCTTTAAAAAATGTGCGTATTTCAGTCACTTTACTCACCTAAGTATATGTCATTGAGCAAGTTTACTAAGCAGGTATGTTCTGCCTTATGTCATACCTAATCAAAACCAACTTAAATATAATGGAAATTATTTTAAAAAGCATTCTTTATAATACTGACATTGACTTGTCCACTAACAGTACAGCTTGATAGGACTAGCGATTTTTATAAATATATTTATTTGTTTTAAACCGTATCTAACATTTTAAATCCGTGGTTAGAATTCAATACGTAATTCAGTAACATGCAGCTTATCTTGGCCTCTGAGGACTGGCTATATTTAGTTTACCCTTGAAGATCCGGGTTAGAATTGATCTTCAGTAACCCATGGTTGTCGTAAGGAGCTATTAATGGGATCGGGTGGTCAGACTCGCTGACTTGTTTGACACATGTCATCATATCCCAACTGTATTGATCGATGCTCATTCTGTTGATCCCTGGATTATCAGACTCGATCATTTATAGACCACCACCATATAGCTGGAATATTGTTGAGTGCGGCATAAAACTAAACTTACTCACTCAGTATATTTAGTTTTTGATATCTGATCTGATTAAAGGTTCTCTTGAGATGTCATCATGTCTTTATGCATAAAAGTATAGGAATAAAGATTTTAAGACAGATTTATGTCACGATATATCATGCTATCATGTTCCCTTGTACATACCTTTGTTCATGGTGTATCCTGATGGCTTCTATATGTCTATCTGGAGTAGGAACTCCCTCTTCTCTTTCATCTTCAACCTTCTTGCGTTGTACCTTGTCCTTGTCTCGAGCTTTAGCCCGCTCGACGTTCTTAGAAGATTTATCTTTCACTGCGTTCTGGGTCTGTGTCGGTACCTTCTGGTTCTGGCGTCACTACCTCAGCAGGCGGTGACATGGGAGGGTGGGGCTGGTGTGGCACCGTGGGGACAGCCTGTGGTGTGTAGTACACTCCTGGGGGCTGCTGAGCAGTGCCTGCTGGGGGTTGGGGAGGGGGATGGGGAACATGGACAGGAGGGGCATAGTTGGTGTACTGGGTATTATAAGCTGGAGGGGAGAATGCTTGCTGTTGGTACATGTTAGAAAAGCCTTGGTAGCCACCATGGAACCCGGGATCAGCCATGTAAGGCTGATAGAACATAGGGTGAGGGGAGGTGGGCGTGGGCGGGGTTCGGGGGGTGAACATGTCCGGCTGTCCACCATACATGTAAGGCCCTTGAGGGTGACCATGCATTCCTGGGGATGTATGTGCATGCATTCCTGGGACTGTCTGTGCATGCATTCCTGGGACTGTCTGTGCATGCATTCCTGGGTTTGGTTGTGCAACCATTCCTGGGTTTGGTTGTGCATGCATTCCTGGAGGAGGCTGCGTGAAGTCAGGTGGGAAATGTCCATGGGGTGGCTGGAAACTGCAATTGGGTGGCTGAAAAGGCCCTTGAGGTGATTGAAACCCCACTGATGGTGCTTGGAAACTCCCCGACGGCATGTTCATCATCATGGCTGGATGGAACGGCATCGCCTGGTTGTATGACATAGTTTGAACCGGCATTCCTCGCTGTAACTGAGTTCCAGAAGAACCATAAGCCTGGCGGTATATTTCATCTGCTGAAAATGTCACTTTTGGAGCAACCGTTATCTGTTCATAGTTTTTCGCACTGGCAGGAAGAGATTCTGATCCTTCAAGTTCCAAATCTTGTTTTGTTTTGGCAACAAGATTCTGAATGTGGACGGGCTCCTTTCTAGGCCTGTTAAGCCTATGTCTTGGTGAGCGAGACTGAACCTGGTTATTCATATGTCCTTCGGTCTCAGTTCGGACATGACCTGCCTCTCCCTTCTCTTGCTCCACATCTCTTTGTTCTATTAAGGATTTGATCAGATGCGGTGATGTCTCGGTTGTCTTGTTCTGATAAAGCTCATTAATATCTTTTACAGATTTTTCAACAAATTCTTGATACTTGCTCGCTCCTAACAAATTTTTCATTTCCTCGGAAAGACTGCTTTCCATCAAATCTGCATTGTTGTTCTGGTTCCTGTCAGAGTCAGGCCTGTGTGTAGAAAGACCCAGATCCTGGCAGTCCACTTCACTCCTAAACATAGACACAGCATCGAGATCTTGGGATTCCCGCAACAGCTCCTGAGAATCACCTCTGGACAATATCTTTGTTTCCTGGCTTTTCTGATGCCCTTTCCGAAATAGATGTTCCACATGAGAATTCCAGTCCTTGGATAACAGGTCATCTTCTGGAGCACCTGAAGCTACTTGCACTGCTCTTGTACCGGAGAACTTTCTCCCACGCTGCTCATTTCCACCATCCTGTCTGACACTGGTCTTGACGCCCTTCGCTGATCTTGTATTTGGCACAGGAGCCTGCTCAGTATGAGTATCACGTTGTCCCAACACATTTGAACCCTCCTGTCCTGCTCTAAGGGTCCTGACACCCTTCGTAGATCGTGTATTTGGCACAGCAGCCTGCTTAGTGAGAGAATCATGTTGTCCCAAGTTATTGAAACCCTCTGATCCAGTTTTGTTGTGACTTTTACCACTTGGTCCATGTTTCTGTTGTTTGTCTGAATGCTGACCAGCAGCAGGGTCAGGTTCGTGGGATGTGTTCTGGAAGTATGCCAGTCGCCTTTGTCGGACTTCTTCCACTGATGGGGGTTTGTTCTTATCCATATTACTTTATCAACATCCCTTTAGCTGAGGTCCTGAAAAAAAAGAAAAAAAAGTACAAATAGAGTATGGTTTTCAACGAGGCACTCCCTTGCTGGTGTGAAACCCAACGCTAACTAGCATTATGAGGCTAATTAAAATGACGCCGACTGGGTGACTGAACGTTGGAACATTGTTTCCCTTTAACAACAATAGTCATGAATGACATGTTAATCATTTTTCAACTTGTTAATATGTACATATTTCCATTGCATTGCACCCAACTAGGGGTCACCCAATTCACCACTTTGACATTCCTGCATCAAAGCAACAAAACCATACAATAGAACATTTGTAAACATGCCATACAGTATATTTTCCTGGATATGTCACTGTATATATTGAGATTCAGGGGGTACACTCACCATTATCTAGATACCTTAATTAGGTGTCAGTTATTTTTGTTTTTGTCAGTGACTTGTGTATAATGTACACCAACTGTTTTATGCTTTGACAAGGGGAGGTACCGTCATAATCATACCACTCACATACATATGTCTAACAACCTGTTGATGTTTGGTTGCAACGTCATATCCGTCACCTCCAGTCACCTAGGTGCTCTTCATAAGTATTCATGCAGCTGCCATTGCGGCATAGAAATAAAACCGACTATGATTCGAATACCACTGGCATGCTAGGCCGATCGCTGTCGGGTTAGCTACAAAGTTAGGAAAAGAAAATATAATTCATAAAACTAACTGTGACTTGGCAAAAACAATCTAAAGGAAAGTAGTTTTTAGATTACGTTTAAATAATATATAACATTTCTTAGTTGCTGCTTAAATTTGTTTATCAGCTGTCAAAGAGAGGCGAAGAATACGTACTTCTCCACTCATATATCCATCAATACACTTTTGACAAGCACCTGCAAATAACTTTAGTCGCCATTTTGTAACTCTGACATTTGTCGCCAGGGTCCCGTTGAAGAAAAATAATAATTATAATAATAATTTCCGTAGTATCGAATATATGTTTTCTAACATAGTATTATGAAATAATTGAAGTTTTCAAATTACGATTAACAATAATAATACAGTTATGTTATTCTCGAAATGCGAGAACCGGAAGTTGAATATTGCGAGACGTAATGGCGACGTCCAATGCCCCACGCTAAACGAAAATATTGAAAATAATTGCTGATAATTATCGTAGAGTTAAGCTTTTTGGGTAGGTATGCATGCAGTTATTTTCTCTATTTTGGTAGATAGTTCAAACAAGGAACGTTGTTAGTTATGTTTGAATTTCCGGCGCACAGTCACTTAAAAAGAAAGCCCAAACGCAATAAAAGCCGGTATTTGTAGACTCGTGGTAGGCGCTCTCGTATTTTAGATCAGTCAGATGTACGGTTTGTCTTTCACTTAGGATTCACATACATGATGATGTAATGATGCTATGACATTAACACCTGGCAAGGTGGGGGTGGAGGGGGCACCATGTCCCAGATGCATGTGTTTATTAAGTACCCTAGGCCTAGCCAAAATCACAGATTTCAGTACCCTAGGACGTACCCATTGTGCGTTTTCTTGATCGGAACAGTCAAAACTGTTGTACAACATGCATTTGATTGCCTTTTATCCGCCTTTTATAAGAAACGAAATCATATTTTACCAGTATAAAAAACTAATACGTTTGATAAGATGGCATGGCAGGTTTTGGTAGTAAAAGATAAGATCTGGACTTGCAAACATACACATGCAATGTAAAACACAACTTTGCAGATTCTGATACCTTTCGGTATGGAGTTACCGAAACAAATCATCAAAAATGCAAATTCAACTTATAAAGTTGAAAAATAACATGATGAAAAAAGCCGCGCGAAATCAGAGTTCAAACGATTCACTTATTTTCCCCCAGCGTTAGGGGGGAAAATTGTTTCAACATGTGGGCTGCGCTGGGCTGCACTCATAGCACATGCGCAGTGAAATAGGTTCGCGCAGCTTGGAAGCGTAGGGTTGTCCAGTGAATACTCGGTGAAGGCTTTGGTGTGAGCTATTTTTCTAATGCTTTGTTGATATTTCACAGGCGCAAGCATTTTATATGTTATGACAGTAGATTACCGATTTAACTGTTTATATGGTGACCCAACAGCATCCCGAAGTATTGGTACATCATTTTCACGAATTGTTTGTTTCAGCTGACCTTGACCTAAGATGGATTTCCAACATCGAGCTGGCGGGAAGACAGGGAGTGGAGGCGTGGCCTCCGCCTCCGAATCCAATCGGGACAGGAGGGAACGTCTTCGTCAGTTGGCCCTGGAAACTATTGATCTGAACAAGGTGAAGATTTGTCAACAGTCTAAGACAGTCGTCTAAGGGGTCACAATTCGCAATGCAGAATTATGAAGCAGTTCTTTGTGATAGGCATCACATTCTTTTCACAAAAAGAAAACTGTTTTTAGTTTGAAATGGTAATAAATGTCTGACACTGGAAATGTGTGCATGTAACAATTAATATGATTAATGCTTCTGAAGTTATGTTCTTTGCTATCACGTCTGAGGCGTTGCCCGCTCTTCCAAGTGCCTGTACATGCCTCGTTTGTCACTCTGCTTTATGTTTACAGGATCCATATTTTATGAAAAACCATCTGGGGTCCTATGAGTGTAAACTTTGTCTCACACTACACAACAATGAGGTAAGCAGTTTGAGTGAGTGAGTGAGTTTAGTTTTACGCCGTACTCAGCAATATTCCAGCTATATGCGGCGGTCTGTAAATAATCGAGTCTGAACCAGACAATCCAGTGATCAACAGCATGAACATCGATCTGCGCAATTGGGAACTGATGACATTTAGGCAGTTGGAGATATAGAGATAGATTTGTTTTGGTAAAATTTAGAATTTAAATACATAACCTAAAAGCAGATAGAGACTAAAGGACCTTTCCATGATGTTATCCGAATCCACATTACATTAAACCTTTTCTGTATCATTCATATCACGACCTACCTGGACAAAAATCTGTCTAACATTTTGGGTGATTGTAAGTCAGTGTCCAAGAAAATGACCAACCTGAATGCCCTGTTGTTATCAACCAATCAGTCAAGCTGCCAGATCTTTATTCATGAAATCTTTAAGATTCTGTAAAGTTGATGAGCACAAGACACTTCCAATAGTTGTTGCAGATTATCTCCCTTTAGTCATCACACTTCATCTGGTCTGTAGGCTTTGGATGGCTCTCAGGCATGCTGTATGTCGAAATAGTAAGTGATTTTGTTGGCATTGATCATGTTGTTACCCTGTATATGATATGTATGAATGTTTTCTTGCAGGGAAGTTACCTGGCTCACACACAGGGAAAGAAACATCAAGCCAACTTGTAAGTCTCACAATTTCAACAACTTCAGCAGCCTCTTTGGCAACCATTTTCTACATTAGTATCATATGGCCTATAGTGAGTGCCATTGTACAAAGCCACCTTAGCCCTAAGGTGTTCATAACTCCAATACCTAAACATAGACTTATGACTTAGGTGATGTCGCAGCACTAAGGTCGTTTTGTGCACAAATGTGCCATGAGGTGGCTTATCTTTCTAGTTCTCCTTATTGGTGATTTTTCTAGTTTGTTTGTACACGTCTCTGCCATCTTAGATATCTCAGATTTCATAAAAGTTCCTGTGATTCCAGGTTTTTGGCTTGGAAGTACTTATGTGTTTCACGGTTTCTCCAAAATGGAAAATGTCTCAGGCACACATCACTTGTTTTCCTCCCACATCAAGCTGACATGCTATAACCGGAATACTGTTGAGAGCTGTGTTAGTGAAACATGTTTGCCTCCGGGTGATCATAGTAACAAATCAAATGTTACTTGAAGTGGCACTCTGGAAAAGGAACTTGTGGAATTTATTCTGATAAATCGAAGCTGTCTTTTCTTGGCCTTTATACTTTCATACCTGACGGGGCGGTGGGGTAGCCTAGTGGTTAAAGCGTTGGCTCATCATGCCGAAGACCCGGGTTCGAATCCCCACATGGGTACAATGTATGAAGCCCATTTCTGGTGTCCCCGCCAGGATATTGCTGGAATATTGCTAAAAGCGGCGTAAAACCATACTCAGTCAGTCAGTTAGTTCATACCTGACTTTCTAGTTCAGTGTTTCCTTCCTCTTCATGATAAATATCCTGATCTCATTCAGCAACATAGCTGTTTAAAAAGGAAAGTGTTCAAATTTTCTTTTAATAAAACTATGCTGTTGAGATGAATAATCAAAGTATAATTTAAAATAATCAATTAAATGTTTCAATGGCTTGCTCATAGAAGTCCATGAACTTCAATGCTGTTATAGGCTGAATTTGTGTTCAAGGCATTTTGATTGGTCGTTGACATCAAACTCATGTGCAAGCAAGATTCTGTGCAGGTTAGCAGTAGAAGTGATGGAGATTTTACTCCCCAAAAGAAAGCTGTTTTGGTATATGGGGCATTTATCCTAATAGAAGCTATATACCAGTATTTCACACTGAATAATTAAGGTTGAGAAAATATGTTAGAATCTTTGCACAAGACATGTTCAGCATAAGTATGGTGTAAGTGGCAGAAATATCTTGTGAAGCATACTTTGAGGCAGTGTTTTGTACCTCCAGGGCTCGGAGGGCGGCTAAAGATGCCAAGGAGGCCCCTGCACAGCCTGCTCCAGAGAAGGCCAAAGTTGACATCAAGAAATTTGTGAAGATTGGTCGACCTGGTTACAAAGGTAGGATCTGTTTGGAGGGACAGAGCTTGGATGGTAGAGGGGATGGAGAGAGAGGGGGGGGTGCGTGTGTGTGTGTGGAGATATGGGAGAGGTGAAGAAGGTGGGAGAGGGTGTGATGGTAAGATGGAGGGAGGGGAGGGGAAATTTCACCCAATTCTGGTGGTCCTGCTGTGATATTGCTGGAATATTGCTATAAGTTGCATACCAGTGTATGAAGTAAGCCCAAAATCCAGCCAGACATCAGGGCTGGTAACTTCAAAATGTTACCAGCCCAAAATGGATTTAACCAGGCCAAATATGGTGAATTTACTCAGATGTATGGACCATCTAATATGTTTACCAGACCATCGGGCTGGCTAGCTGTAAATTTAGACCGTCCGTCGGAAAACTAGACTGTCTTGGGCAGTCAGACGGGCCTCTTTTCATACACTGTGCATACTCACTCCCCCACAAACTGATAGGGAAAGCTAATCCCTTTAAGTGGGCTGTGTGAGGTGAGGTGAAATTGGGTTTGACGTGCTTGAGAATATTTCGCTCATATGACGACGTGCATGCGTGTGTATGTGTATGTGTGGCTGCTTGTACTAGCCCAGACTGAAGCTGGTTTTATAGTGCTAGCCCACTGAGATACCATGCCACAGTGAAGCATGAATACCCCACTCAGACACACTATACTGACTCCAAGCCGACCTGTCCTTGTACCCATTAATGCCGCGGGCTGTGTGAAGTCAGTGTCGGCAGTGCAGCACGGTCATTAGAAGATTGTACTTGTCATCAGTCAACCGTTGTCACTGGCATGTATTCCGGACAACAAACACATCTGTACATGCATCCTGTTTTCAAAGAGTTAAAGGAACGCCTTCATCTGCATCAGCCGTGGCATCCATCAGTAGTTGCACGATATAGGACAAGCAATGCCCTTCCCTGAAGCCAACTGTGTTACTGTAAACAAAGTTGACACTTGTGTTTTTCTTTTAGCATTGTTTATGAGATTGGTGACCAGATGGCTAAATATCGTTATGATATACAACTCTTCAGGATCTAGCTCAACTGATAAATGATACTTGAACACTTTTGTGTGGACTGCATTAACTGTTTTTGAATATTGTATAGTGCAAAGGGATATACTTTCTTACAATTGAATTTTGTGAGAATGTCAAAATATGTCATTTTTCCTTATCCTGACTCATGCTCTTTTGCTTGTCTCCTTCCTCTTGCGAACATAGTGGAACACTTGTATCTCCCTAATTGAAGTTCCCTTTAATGTAAAATCACTAATTAGTACACCACGAGTTACCTCCCTTCCACAAGCGCGGGAACAAGGGCGCCACCTCTACCCATGTGCCTCACTCTCTCCTTCTTCGCCCAGTGAGCTGGACGTGAGAGCGCCTGTGTCTCCCGACACACTATATCCTTTGATTATATTTAGTTAGTTACCTCGTATAGACATCTATAGAGGTTTAGCTAGTATCTTCAACAATTATATATTGATATTTAGTCGTGTTTCTACTGTTTATTCACGGGGCCGTGTAGTTTCAGTGGATTACGTTGATAAAAATTCTGTACTGTTGCACATTACGTTTTATTCTGCTGCTGATCCGCATTTAATATGCCCTAGCTGTACTGCGCCATGTTTCATGTTATTCACATTGCAGTTGTGGTACTAATTTATCCAATTCTGCCTTTAATAAATATTACTTTTGCGTTTGAGGCGCGAGCAGATAGGTCGTGCGTATGCAGAGTCTAGCCATGACTGATACACCTGAACCACTCGCCAGTCTACTGCTGTTGGTCGACCCCCCTCCTGTCTGGTGTTCGCTAGAGTGGTGGAGAGTGGGGCGTAGTCCGCCGCCTCAAGAAGCGTCCTGCTTCCCCAGACATCCCATCGTCGCAGCCGAAGACTAGAGGGTTTCTACTGCATCTCAACGCAGCGACCTCTGAGGGGAATCAACGAAGTCTACTTGAACTTTCTCAGCGAGATTGTTCCGTCGCATGAATTTGGGCCTGTATGATGATCAGCCGATCATCATACCTGATGTACATCAAAGAATGACCGGCGTCGACAACAGTGATGTCAGCGCAGATCAACATGCAGCCTGATGTACCAACGCTGATATTCTTCCTGAGGGTCCCGCCGCTACCAACACTCAGCGCGAAGACTTAGCACCCCAGGGCAGTGTCAACCTCTGAGGGGAAATCAGCGAAGTCTACTAGGACTTTTCAACCGAGATTGTTCCAGCCGCTGAACTGGGTCTCACGATGATCAGCCGATCATCATCCCGACATCGCCACAAGAAGCGACGGAGACAGCTACAGTGACATCAGCAGAGATCGCCATGCAGCCTGAGGTCTCTACACTGGCGTCAGGCGACTTTCCTGAGGGCCCCGCCGCTAACATCGCGAGAGAGGGCACCGACTAATTCGTCGCCAGACCATCCCAGATGAACTGTTGCGGCAAATCATGATCATGATGGAGGGCCACTACAGACTGGAGAAGCAGCCAGCCCAAGGCCTGAGCCAGCGAAGGTTCCAACGCATGAGACGACACCCCAGAGGCACCCCCATCAGCGTAGCAGCCACGACGAAGCCACCTTAGCGAAGGAAGTCGCCAGACCACCTCGACGAAGGACCCAGATGTACAGCCTTCGCGAGAGGCCTTGGCGAAGGCGGATAGATCATCACCTTCCTTGGCTTCATCCTTAGATCACGGACTCAGACCATCAGACCTCCGCGGAAGCCTTCGAAGGTCAAATCGCCGTTCCCAGGACGGGCGCGAGAGGAAGCTTTTCGAAGGCCTTCGCGAAGGACACCTGACTACACAAGAGCCCGGCGAAGCTATCAACATTCTCCTCACCGGTCTCCGAGAAGGTCAACCCATAGGCGCAGATCACCAACACGATCTCGCGCCGTTCGCAGCGCCCGATCTCCTCGCATTACATCACCACGTCGATCGTCTCACAGGTCACCACACAAGTCTGCACACAAGTCTACAGTCAGGTCTCCCCGGCGTCACCCGACATAGAGATAGAAATACACAGTCCACCATCAGAAGAGCATCAACCTCTCATCAGCGATGCTGGGATAGAAAATGATGGAGGCATCATTTTCTCAGGCGCTGAGATACGATATTGGATGGTAAACAACCTAGATCTCTCTTCACCTTCCAAGAGTGGCAACTCGAGCAGACATACCTGATAAAGGAAGGCGAGGCAGGCGCCATCACCTTACCTCCGATCGACTCGATTGCTGCGGTGCCACAGTATGTGGACACAGCCTACCATAAAGCCATAACAGTTCAAGCGCCAGAGGCGTATGTTCTTGGCCTTAATAGATCTAGAGCGATCAATGAGATTCTTATCACCAGATTTCGTGACACGACTTCTGAAGATGATAGGATGATCTACTCGGCTCTACTTATGCAGAACCAGCAAGAACCACACCCTGTATGAAGCTAGCGGCTCATATATTGATGGGATTCTAGACGCTTCGCTAAGGAAGTCCCAGGCCACCTCAGCGAAGGAGCTAGAGCCTCACCAGTTACAAGGGGCGTCCGCGGAGGAGTGGCGCTTCACCGACCCCACATATTGCTGAGTGCGGTAAAACAAAACACTCACTCACTCACTCCTGTTGAACACAGAGGTGGATTCGTGAAGCAAGCTCATATATTATATATATACTGATCGGGCTCTGACTCGATACCTTCGCGAAGGTCGCGAAGGCTAAGTGGCTCCAAGTCTACCTCACACAGAAAATCTAGAATGGATGCCGAGAGCTTAAACGGCGAAGTCTCGGCGTCCACCGAGGAAATCTCCTCCAAGGTCTCCATATATTAGCCACTTTCGTCATATATAGCTACTTTCGTCAGTCCGTTTCAAGACATCGCATAAGTTGTCTATCAACTGTATGCCATATGCGATCTATAAGCCTCTGGCGAAGACAATTGCACAGGCTATTTACAACACAGAGAGCGTCGCTATATTAATTAGTCAACGGCGTTTCATAGATCTTCACAGAAATCAACCTTTCGTATAGATTGCTAGAATATGCAATCCCGGACTACGATCACGATTATCTACATGCGTGACCATTACGCGCAGATCTGCAGACAATTCAATATCGAAATTGAACAGCAGCCTTGTTACAGCGAGTATAACTCATAATCGTCAAAGTTTCTGAGAAGAAATATGTACAACAAGTTCAGCTTTAATTCTACAATTATGACGATACATTCATGTATACAGTCTACAAGCTGACAACTTGCAAGTTTATTGTACCTTTATATAAGGAAGTCGGAATTATATTCAAAACTGAAGTTACTTTCACGACAGCCAGGAAAATAACCTACCCAGCATTAATATTACAGAGCGAGGTATTTCGGCGGAGGTTCAGCGTTTACCTTTAACCCTCGAAACACGTGGTCACTCGGGTAACCGGGGAAGCTACGGTGAAGACCGGCGATTATGCTAATATCAACGATGGCAAGATTTTATACAAGGTTTTTCCTGCTACACCGGTGACATCACAGCTCGGGTATTCTACAGAATCAAAATGCCTTGTTCTGATTGGACCGCGTTGGACAGCGACTTACCTCACGAGAAGGTCGATCTTAGTTCACAGTTCAAGACTTACGTTACAAGTGACAACTATATATCAGTGAGCGAGCAAGCCTCCTTACAGTCCAGTTAATCTGAACCTTCATGATTGGGCTGCTTTCTTCAGGTTAGAGACCTCCCTGTCAAGTTAGGACGAGGCACGCGGCAGTCAGGCAATTTTACATAAAGTTCAAGCGAGGACAGACACACCTGGTTGTGCACCTACATCGTCAAGGACTTCGCGTGAGCGAATAACCTAGACGGCGGGATACAAGTGGATCTAAATCCACAGCGTCTCAGACTACAGCTGAATTTCATAATCAAGCTACTAACACAACTAGATGGTTAGTAAACCTACTTAAACTTTCTGATTGGAGAATTAAAGCGGAAGTTTCACCCTCCAACTTGGGGATCTGAATATAGTGCTCCAACACCTCACAAGTGAGGTTTATGAACACGCTGGATGACATACTTGGACTTCATGATACGATGATTCTATCGCGATGGCCAGCAAGAGCACTGTAAATTTATCTCCACCGAACCAAACAGAAGGGAATAATGCAACAGATTATTTCCTTTATCATCAACTTACGCAGAATGAAATCTCACGTACTATATCTCCGTTTGGATCAGAACTGTCATACTACGTGCATACAAGACGGATGGACCCAATCCGACCCTCCATGAGCTTTTAATACTCATGATATTAGAAGCTAACTTCTACAATTGATCTACACAATGTTATTTGAAATAATGGAGGGTTTATTTTCTGGAGATCCGATATGGTGGTTGCCAACCATTATCTGAGAGAGATATCATCACCGAGGGCGTCTCAGGTATCCACCAATTCGATCCCATGGTCCTCGCACAACAGTTGACAGTTCTCGGAGAAGATAAGTCAATCTTACAGATTTCTACTTATCTTATAACAGTACTAAATAGCTACATGCTATATATAATTTGCTTAAGTTCTTTTTATCATCACAGTACTATGATTATTACATCATACAATATATAAGTTAACAACTCTACAGAGTTGGTTATTATATATTTACCTTAACTTAATTATATCTTAAGCATAGTACTATACTCAGATTGTAAAAATATATAAGCTAACAAACTCTACAGAGTTTGGGCTATTATATAGGTAGCTTAAGCTTATTCATATCTTAAGCTCAGTACTATGTTTATATCATATAAGTATATTAGCTAACAAACTCTAAAGAGTTTTTGCTATTTGGCTTAAGTCTCATCATATCTTAATGCAATATGGTTACATTATAACATGTATTAGCTAACAAACTCTACAGTTTATTTTTTTGCTAGCTATATATGTTTTGCTATTTGGCTTATTCATATCTTAAAGCAATATGGTTACAGTACTATGCTTTATATCATATAGGTATTATTAGCTATCAGCTTATTCTAAAGCGCAGTAGTGTTTTTGCTATAGGTATATATTTGGCTTAAGTTTCATAAGTTTCATAATTTAAGCTTTATGGTTACATTATAACTTGTATTAGCTAACAAACTCTCACGGAGTTTTGCTATTATATATGTAGCTTAAGTTTTCCTTCAAATCTTAAGCTCAATACTATGTTTATATCATATAAGTATATTAGCTAACAAACTCTACGGAGTTTTTGCTATTATATATGTAGCTTAAGGTTTCCTTCAAAGCTCAATACTATGTTTATATCATATAAGTATATTAGCTAACAAACTCTACGGAGTTTTTGCTATTATATATGTAACTTAAGGTTTCCTTCATAAACTCAATACTAGGTTTATATCATATAAGTATTTTAGCTAACAAACTCTAAAGGGTTTTTGCTATTATACAATTAGCTTAAGTTTCATCATATCTTAAGCAGTATGGTTACATTATAAAATGTATTAGCTAACAAAACTCTACGGAGTTTTGCTATTATATATATAGCTTAAGTTTAATTATATCTTAAGCTCAGTACTATGGTTATAACATAAAAGTATATTAGTTGATAAACTCTAAGGAGTTTTTTTTTGCTATATACATTTAGCTTAAGTCTAATCTTATCTTAAGCTTAGTACTATGATTACATTATTAATCTATAAGCTAATAAACTCTACAGAGTTTTGGCTATTATATATGTAGCTTAAGTTAATTATATCTTAAGCACAGTACTATACTCATATTGTAAAATATATTAGCTAACAAACTCTACAGAGTTTTGCTATTATATAGGTAGCTAAAGCTTATTCATATCTTAAGCTCAGCACTATGTCTATATCATATAAGTACATTAACTAACAAACTCTAAAAGAGTTTTGCTATTATATAATTAGCTTAAGTTTAATCATATCTTAAGCTTAGTACTATGTTTATATTTTAAAGTAATTTAGCTAACAAACTCTAAGGAGTTTATACTAGCATATTAACAAGCTTAAGTCTATTAGTCTTAAGCATTGTATTAATGTTATATATACTTTATCATAATAAGTACATTGTAATAACCTTTATATGGCAGCTGATAAGTTAGCAGCAGGAATTCATCAGTTCAGTGCCTTTATGAAGTTCCCATAGGGTTATTACAATCATCACAGTTCAAATCACTAATTATTAAAATCCAAAGTATTATATATTCCCACCTCCAATCTGTAGGATTCTACAAACAAAGAGCATGAGTCAGGATAAGGAAAAATATGTAATTTTTTGAGTAAAATTGATATTTTATACTTATCCTGACTCATGAGGTCAGCCCTCCCATCCTCCCCAAATAACACTTTGGATTTCCCTGTAAATTCAAATGTTGGGCTCAGTATATGAGGAGAGAGTGAGGCACATGGGTAGAGGTGGCGCCCTCGTTCCCGAGCTTGTGGAAGGGAGGTAACTCGTGGTGTACTAATTAGTGATTTTACATTGAAGGGAACTTCAATTAGGGAGATACAAGTGTTCCACTATGTTCGCAAGAGGAAGGAGACAAACAAAAGAGCATGAGTCAGGATAAGTATAAAATATCAATTTTACTCAAAAAATTACATTTTTTGCAAGCCCTATTAGGTATTACGTTTACTTTAACTTTGAAAAGTGAAGGCATTCTTTAGACATTTAGAAACTCATATTGCTGTCAAAATATTGTTTTTGTTTATTATATGTTTTTCATTATGGTGTGCATGGGCGGATCCAGGAATTTTGAAAAGGGGGTGTTCAAGGGGTTCGAACCCCCTGAACCCCCCCTCTGGATCCGCCAATGGTGTGTCATCCCTTTACAGTCATGATGGTGGGATTCACCAATGTTGTACGTGTAACCTTTAACCAAAAATGCACTAACTTAAACTTTACAGTGTAATGTTGCCCATATTAAAAACATTTCAGGTGAGCTAAAGGACCCTTTGACTCTGTAATTAAATGATTATTAAAGCCTCATAAATGTGTGTCAACAAATGCATGATATTTTTGTGAAACATGGCTTTCGTGATGCTTTTGTGAAACCATTAGCCTTGTTTACAGTTTCATGACAGTTTAAGGAGCCATTATTCTCCTTTTTTATGTATGTTGTGTGGGAGTGTTATCTGTGACTCTTTGTGTTTCAGTGACAAAACAGCGGGATCCGGACACAGGGCAACAGAGTCTGCTGTTTCAGGTCAGTTGGGGTGAGCTGTAATGTCACCGTGACCTACTAATAGCAATGTCACAGTGACCTGACCTGACATTGGGAAGCACCTAAGTAAAATGTTCTAGCCTTGTAGTTGTAGCTTCATAAGCATGGGTTGCTAGGTGGTCTAACATGCTGGATCTTGCTGTCAAGAGTTACTTCCCTTAGCTGCCAGGATCTGCTGATCATAGGATCAAATTACATAATAAACATAAGCGGCTGTGGGAAGTCTGGGTTAAAATTGGTCATAGGTCATCAACCTGTGTTTGTTGTGTGAGGCAACTACAACAATCTGGCATGGTGGATCGGTTGGCATCATAATGTGGACAGTTTGGGTGTCATTAATCACTAAATACACTTTGATTCCAGTGGGTCAATCACTGATTCATCATACTTAATTATTTCCATGCTTCTGTCACATTGCTCATTTCAACAGTGTACAGTGTAATATAATGTATTGAACTACCCGTGAAGAAGTGAGTTAGAACTGGTCTACAGCAATACAGATTGGATGGACTCGCTGACTTGGTTGACACGTATCATTGTATCCTAGTTGCATAGATCAATGCTCATGCTGTTGATCAGAGGATTATTTGGTCCAGACTTGATTACTTACAGACCACCACCATATAGCTGGAATATTGCTGAGTGTAGTGTAAAATAACAAACAAACAACCGTACAAATCATGTACTTGGCAAAGACAGTGTTTAGGATATTGTCAGGGGTGCAGGGGTAGGCTAATTGTTCAAGCGTTCACTCGTCATGCTGAAGCCCTGGGTTCCATTCCCCACATGGGTACAATGTGTGAAGCCCATTTCTATTGTGCCCAGTCGTGATATTGCTAGAATGTTGCTAAAATCAGCATTAAACCTTACTCACTCACTCACTTACTAGTATAGGACTGTGTAAGCGTTATTCCAACTGTTGGCTGCAGATTGACTACCCAGAGATTGTGGAGAGTATGATGCCGAGGTACCGCTTCATGGCCGCCTACGAACAGAAGATGGAACCCCCAGACAGGCGGTGGCAGTACCTGCTGTTTGCTGCAGAACCGTACGAAACTATTGCCTTCAAGGTAGGCGTTGAAAATTTTGGACTATTTCTGGATGCTTGAACATATATACATGTATAATGTTTGTCAATCATCCATATATATATTGTGCACTGAGATGAAAAATGTATCAAGCTAAACCGGATGTCGACTCATGATTCAAAGTTCACACTAATGAAGAACAATATACATATATTAGGTGAATGAGGAAGAGACTTGTATAAAGATATTTAAAATGTTTTATGATGTGGACATGACCTGTGAATTATGTAACTGTCCGACTTTTCTGAGTCAGCCTGTAGTCTCCCAGTAGAGATGTTATTTTCATCTCTTATGAGTAAATGATGAATGAATAAAGGGATACAGTAACCATGTAACTAAATGAGGGGATGCAGTAACCATGGTAACTGCAGTGAATGTTTGTCAATCATCCATATATATACATGTATATTGAAGTTTTAAAGATGTTGGAGAAGAGGTGGGGTTCTATTTGATAAAGACATACAGTCAAGCACTGTTGTCTTGATATTCATGGGCCCAAGAAAAAATATCGAGATATCCGAAATATCGAGACATCTGTATCGAAGTTAAAAGGGCTTGAATTATGATAAATTATGAAGGATTTTGCCGGGACCGAGATGTTATATCGAGACAACCGAGATATTGAGTTATCAGAGTTCGACACAACAGTGCTTGTCTGTACATATACACAAGGGAGAATGTTTTGGTGACATCTGAAACAGAGAATATTGGTTGATGAAATATACTACCCATCAAAAGTAATATACGCTTTTAGCAATATTGCATTGGGCTTCACAAATTGTGCCCATGTGGGGAATCGAAAGCAATTTTCATTGTTTCATAATGTTTTACATCGAAGACTTGGGGGAACCAACTGCAAACTTTATGCAGATGAATGCATGAGGATCATTCAATGTGAACATTAAAGCCAATTCGCCAATTTTCATTGTTTCATAATTTTTTAGACCCATGACAATAATCTTTTCAATGTTACGAATTTGTTTTACAATACATCAGTTCATGTGTAAACAGTACCTTTAAACAGTATGGTAAATTTTGCAAAATCTAGTTTAGAACAGTTGACTACATTTGCACTAGTGAGTCTAAACTTTTGATGGGGAGTATATGTAGTGGCTTAGATGGAATTATGAAGGTATGATTTCTTCCCAATGCAATGATCTCCATGGCAATAAGATGGGTCTTCCCTCGTAGACTGCATCAGATATGTTGAGTACCTTGATGAAAATAATAGAGAGATTTAGGGAATATCTGTCGTCGCCTGCCTGACAGTACACATACTCTACATACCCGGGAAGTTCTGGGTAAGAGTCTTAACTAACCCATGTTTGTCGTAAAAGGCGACTAATGGGATCGGGTGGTCAGGCTCGCTGACTTGGTTGACACATGTCATCGGTTCCCAGTTGAGCAGATCGATGGTCATGCTGTTGATCACTGGATTGACTGGTTCAGACTCGATTATTTACAGACCATCGCCATAAAGCTTGAATATTGATAAATGCGATGTTTAAAAACAACCAGCGAACACATACTCTGCCGATCCTTGACCGAAACTTGCATGACATTTGCCATGTTGTTTATGAACCAAATGTTGATTTCATTACAAGATTTTGACTCGACCATGCATAGACTTGTTAGTCTATTTCACTCCATAATTCCAGCAAGCACGGTTGTGAAATTGTCTTTTGTTAACTCTCTGAAGATTACTCCTGTAATATGCAAATGAGTCCTGACACACACATTTTAAGGAAGTGAAACAGACCCACCCCAGTTGTACACAAAATGTCAGCCAATCACAGCTGCCAGATGATACAATTTTCAATGATGAAACTGCCTTTTAGATGACCAGTTCTGATTTGGTGTAGTATAACCTCAATACCATGTTGTGGGGGTGGGGGGTTGGGGTTAGCCTAATGGTTAAAGAGCTGGCTTGTCATGCCGAAGACCCGGGTTCGAATCCCCACATGGGTACAATGTGTGAAGCCCATTTCTGGTGTCCCCCGCCATGATGTTGCTGGAATATTGCTAAAAGTGGCGTAAAACCAAACTCAGTCAGTCAGTCAGTTGTGTGGGGGGTCAGAAGAAAGGGAGATAACTCTTAGGATCATGTTTATGACTTTGTCTGTATTTGAAATCGAACTCCCCCATGTTAACTGCTTGATAAATGAATGGCTTTATGACCTTGTGTGAAAACAGTATCTTTGTATCTAGTGTTCTGTGGTAAGAACTAAACTTAAATATATGGACATGATTAGGTTTTGACAAACAATAGGCTGTGGAAGGAGTTATTTATATTGGAGTAATAGCTGGGGTATGAACCTTGCAGGTGCCCAGCAGAGAAGTGGACAAGGACCCCAAGAAGCTGTGGACACACTGGAACAAGGATACAAAGCAGGTTTGTGTAACTGTATTTAGTCATTCTTGTATTGATTTACCCTATAATCTTGAGTATAGTATGCACCTGAGTCTAAGTGCGCAACCCTTCTCTCTCTCTCTCTCCCTATTTCCATGGTCACGGTGAACTACTTTTCTATCTTTGTGCAGGAAAATAGGGATTGTACCATCCTATATTGTGTCCCGGTAGAATTGATCTTCAGTAACCCATGATTGTCATTAGAGGCGACTAACAGGATTGGATGGTCAGGCTTGCTAACTTGGTTGACACATGTCATCATATCCCAACTGCGTAGATTGATGCTCATGATGTTGGTCACTGGATTGTCTGGTCCAGACTCGATGTTTTACTGACTGTCGCCATATAGCTGGAATATTGCTGAGTGCGCATAAAACTGAACTCACTCCCTCACTCACTAAAATATTGTGAGTGAAAACCCTGACAGGAAGATTAGAGCTATTAATGGTGATGGTTGATGCAATTCTGAGCTAACGGATGCAGATGTACGAAATGAAATACAAAATTATAAAATTCAACTATAAAATTGTAAAATACAAATTTGAATCATGAATTTCTTATAAAAAAAAGAGGTGTGTGGCTCTTTAAAAGATATCTCAATTTCTCGGAAGATATAGTACATGTGGGTAACGATCTTGTTCAAGGAAATTAAAAAATAATCTGTATACCTACTGTGATTTTGAAATTGTTGAAATACGATCCACATGAATTTTATTGGCCTCAGTATAATGCAAGTGGGATAGGTATGTGTGATCAGGGTCAACGCTGTCAAACTTTAGTTCCTAGTATATCGCAATATGTATTGCAATGCAGATACCTGTATCGCAATTAATTGCAATGCAATATATTTGTTATTCGTCACAGCCCGCTATTCGTCACAGCCCACGTAGTGAGTCACAGACCCCACAACACACTCATTGTCAGTTACATCCTGGTTGAATATCGCAATCTCCTGCTGACATATACCTGAAACTTACCTGTCAGCTGGGAGGTTGGATGAAGAGGGACAAGAGGGGGGGAATCAAACACATATACCTGAAACTTACCTGTCAGCTGGGAGGTTGGATGAAGAGGGACAAGAGGGGGGAATCAAACCCATGTTGTCATATACACCAATCTGTTGTGTGTACCTTTTAGATAAGCCTTTCTATGTTATCATACTACTCACATTTTGCTAAGGATCACAAAAATTCACAACTTTACTTAAACATAGATTTATAATTTGAGATTGTATCCATTAAAAACTGGATAGATAATAATATGGTAACCCTTCTTTAGGCAAACAGCCACTTTAATCTAACCTTTAAATATGCACTTGATATATGAGTAACCATAAAAATGGTTTTCATGGCACCAATGAACCATTGTGCAAAATCATGGAACGAGTCATTGACAAGTACACAACACCTGTCAATAGCAGGTATGGGATCCACAAGATGCAATGATATACTGAAACCTAGGATCCATGCTTACAATGAGCTTAGATATTTAAACCAAATTTGACCCCACATCATAGTTTTCTGTTCAATCCATGATTTGATCCTTTGCAAAGTGTGAATAGTATATAGTTGCTTTACAAATATTCCTTATCCAAGCCCCAGTTAGTGCTCAAAATAGAAATAAAACTATGTAGAAGAATGTAATCTGTTTTTGTAATGAAAACTAGAATTCCAGTTGTTGTATTTTCATTTGGCTTTTGTATTGTGACAGAAATGTTGAGTATTGTGCAATATTTTGAGCATTTATGCGGAAACAGAGACACACACCACTACTTGGAGCAATGGCATCATTGCTACTCATTACCTTCATGAATGATACATCTTGTGCATATAGTGGGGCGGTTGGGTAGCCTAGTGGTTAAAGCGTTCGCTCGTCATGCCAAAGGATGGGTTCGATTACCCACATGGGTACAATGTGTGAAGCCCATTTCTGGTGTCCCCTGCCATGATATTGCTGGAATATTGCTAAAAGTGGCATAAAACCTCACTCACTCCTGTTTATCTCCACGATCAATGATCCTACATTAATGCTTGATCATAAATTACCTGCCCTTGATTTTCATTGCAACAATCAATCATCAACATAAGGGAAAGGGTAAGGGAGGTAAGTCATATTACCTACGCAGCAAAGCCACTGTCAGTTTTAACATACATGAACGTGTCCTTTCCATGGTCAACCAGTTTTATAATATTGAATTTCTCACAAACCCTGTCATAATGTGTGGGACTGGCCACATCTTGTAATGTTACCAACTTAATGTTTGAGGCTGGTCTGTAACTCACATTCTGATTGGTAAGTTAGACCTAGCTGTGTGGCCAATCGGTTTGGTGAATGGAACTTAAGGGTGGGTAATTTGAGATCTCGATACCCTCAGTAATGGATCCAGGGATTAGTGTAGATTAACTGAAATGCAAGTCCTAGAGATATAGAGGGAGACTTTGATATGACTCCACCCATCCATTGTAAGACCCCCTAATCCATAACAAAAATTAGAATTCCATTTTTGCTGCTAGTTGTTGAGATACGGAGAACCTGTCACAGAAAGCAGGTGGGTAGACAAGGTCCGTGAGACCAGGGGCAAGAGTGGGAGTACTGACTCACTCAGCTGACGTACTTTGTCTCTTCATCGGTCAGATGAATGTTTACCAACCTGTCAGCAGTTATGAGGATTATTATCCAGATTAGAAACAGAGCCCATGGCTGTGTCTTATATCTGATCATGCTCAAGGCGGTGAATTTGTTTCATTTCAAGAACATTCTTTTTTCCTTTGTTTCAGTATTTTCTCCAGTTTGCATTCAAGGCTGACCCAAAAGGCCTAATGCAGTCCATGCAGCCTCCAGTACCTCTGGGCCCCCCTCGGATGCCTGGCCCTCCACGGATGCCCCCTCCCCCTATTCCCCCACCCATGGGGATGCCACCTCGGCCCCCTCCACCATCAGGCCCTCCCCCGAGCCAACAACCTCCTCAGGGGCCACCTCCAGTTCCTCCTCCTTCAAACATGATGCCCATCGGCCCACCCCTTCTGCACCGCCCCCACCCCCAATGATGCCTCCTGGCCCCCTCCTTCTTCTGCTCCACCCCTTGGCTCCCCTGCACCTCCTGCCCCACCCCCGCCTCCTCCCAAACCCACCATCTTAACAAAGCTGTGGTCAGTTTTAATGGACGAGATGGAAAAGGGACTTTTACTGGGTATTATTCTATCATAGACATGTGTATCACAATCACTTCTCAAACTTCAAAGTCTGAAAGTGAGAGACAACACTTAGTACTATCATTTTTATTATTTACATGATAATAAGGGACCTAAGTGAAAATTTGACCATCATTTTGCATTCATTCATTGTGTCTGTCATGTATTCAGACATGTACATTGTACAAAATAAAATCACTCAACATTCATTTTTCTGTACTTTGTTTCAAATTCTTGGTTGCAAAAAGTTTGGTTTGTGTCCGTTTAACATTGCGATATTTGTACTTTCATAATATGATTCTGGTTATTTTATGAAGCTCAACTTTGGAAAGCTGATTGTGGTTTTGTATTTAATATTCTCTCAAAATAAGAATGAGAGTGTGAGTATGGGTTTACGCCACTTCTAGCAATGTTCCAGCAATATCACCGTGGGGGATTTCACACATTGTACCCACTCAAAATATGATGCTTGGCCTGTCAGCACCTCACTAGGTCAAAAGGGACGATGGGGTAGCCTAGTGGTTAAAGCATTCGCTTGTCATGCTGAAGACCCAGGTTCCATTCCCACATGAATACAAAGTGTGAAGCTCATTTCTGGTGTCCCCTGCCGTGATGATATTGGTAAAAGTGGTGTAAAATCATACTCAGTCACTTGGTCAAGGATCTGCCAAAGAGTCAGTTACTGTGAAATAGGAGCATGGGTTGTGCTTCTTGTCTGTGACCTCACAAGTTTCAGTGCAGAGTTGCATCCCTTATGTGGGCAAGGAACCTATGACTGTGGTTTTGAGACCCAGATTCTTGAATTGGTTTCATGATTTGTCAGCACGGTATACTTTAAGGACTCAACTAGTCTGTTAAGGTCTAAAACCTGCATTACTTTCCTCCATCAAACTGACGTGCCATGATATCATTGAACACTTGTCTGCCTGAAACAACCTGGCTTATGTTTTTGATGCATGGATGACTATGCAGCCCATGACCATGGGTTCGAATCCTAGATCTCCCCTGATGTGTGCAGATCTGTAAGTATTTTAACAAGGCCGTCGTCACTTCCTGGGAGTTATCCCACAACCAGATGACATACATTGAATACTGGAAACTGCTCATCCTCGATAACTCCAGGGTATACGTTCCGATAAGCCTCCACTATAGTTTCGAGGATGGAAACTGCTGTGAGCTGTGTTAATCTAGAGTCCTGGGCCCGTTCCACAAAGCGACCATTACCCTAAGACTATCGTAACTCCAATACTTTAACATAGACTTACGACAGTCGTAGCGCTATCATCGCTTTGTATAACGAGGCCCTGGGCCCCATTTCACAAAGCCATCGTATTGCTAAGGTGACCCTAACTCCCATACTTTAACGTAGACTTACGACAGTCGTAGCGCTACGATCGCTTTGTGAAACGGATGCCCAGGATGCTTTGTGAAACCAGGGAGACTATATAAGGAGAGTATCCCTGGTGAAACGGATACCCAGGATGCCGTTGTACAAAGCGATCTTAGCACTAAGGTGACTCCCATACCTTAGTGTCACGCAAAAGACCTGGTTCGATTCCGCACATGGGGACAATGTGTGAAGGCCATTCCTGGTGTCCTCCGCATTGATATTGCTGGAATATTGCTAAATGCGTCGAAAAACCTCACTCACTCACTCACCCATACCTTAACATAGCCTTAGCTCTAAGGTTGCCTTGTACCCAGGTTGAGAGAGGTGGGTTTAAACACGTCTCTGAACAATAGTCTAGGACCCCGATCCACAAAGCGATCGTAACGTTACGACCTGTCGTATCTCTGTACTTTATCATTGGTTTACGAATGATATAGCGCTACGAACGTTTTGTGGATCGGGCCCCAGATATATTACGGTTGTGAGGTAGCTGATATCGTAAACCCGGAAGAGATGCTAATTTTAGATGTTATTCCATTGGTGAAATCCACAAGCACGGGTATGGTGTTTACAAAACCCGAAATGTGATGGGGCAAATCTGGATTCGAATCCACAATCCCAAGGTTTCCTTCTTGTCCCGGGATGCAATTCGGCACCAGTGCCCCCATCTCGTGACCCAGTCGACAGGACTTGTTTATATAACTTGATAATGGCGCACCACGCTCACACTGCTTAAACTATCACTAACCTCAACAAACCGAACAGCAATGGGTCAAGAACGTTGGGGCAGGGGTAGGGGAAAATCAGAGTCTAGTCCCACAACTGTTTCTCCAGCTGAGTGTTTTTTGTATATCAAATTTCCATGTGTAGACTTTTTCTCAAACACTCCACCCATTTGGCAACGTTTAATGGGTGTTTTTTACTACAAGACTCCATTTACAGTCAAAATAATTTGAGTGAGTGATTGAGTTTAGTTTTACGTCGCACCCAACAATATTCCAACTAAATGGCAGCGGTCTGTAAATAATCGAGTCTGGATCAGACAGTCCAGTGATCAAAAGCATGAGCATCGATCTACGCAATTGTGATACGATGACATCTGTCAGCGAACCTGACCACCCGATCACGTTAGTCGCATCAATTCTAACCCGGATCTTCACCGGTTCAAAATGATTTGACTTGTATAAGATTAAATTCAATAATATGCTCTGTGGTTTCGTCTCGTGAAGATACTGAACCCCTGGCATTGATGTATTGGAACAATGGCAGGCATGACATGCTTCAACGATTCCATTTACCCCCGACCAACACAAATGAATGTTTACTCCCACCCGCTCTCTGAACGCAATCGTGGATTCTGCGTAAGAGTCATTCGTCACCACTTGCCCCTTTCCGTAACCTGCAAGAACACGTGATCTCAGAGCGAAAATGTGACGAACCAATCAAAATTCGCGAAGGATTTGCTTCGGTCAATTAATCCTTTATATCGCCTTTCACCTAAAGATATACCCAAGATACTGTAGATTGTGTTCAGTCATAGTGTTTATCGTCGAAGTCCAATGTGAATCTGCAATATATATGACATATCGGGTAAATATAAGTGAAGCATTACGTCGGATATAGTCCCTCGAGTTGACAATTCTTTCAGGCATGCCCGCTTACGCTAAGACAAAACCCAGTCGCAAAAAATGGTCGCTCAGCTTGTCCCGAAAAAACACAAGTTGGTCATGAATTTGGTCATCTGCAACCCATGCTGGTCAAGACTTCTGGGGTTTGTTTGGTGTGTATGGCCACAATCAGCAATATTCCAGCTACATGGCGGCAACCTGTAAATAATCGAGTATGGACCAGTAAGTCCAGTGATCAACATCATGAGCATCGATCTATGCTATTGGGATACGATGACATGACATGTGACAACCAAAACAGCGAGCCTGATCACCCGATCCCGTTAGTCGCCTCTTACGACAAGCATGGGTTACTGAAGACCAATTCTAACCCGGATCATCACGGGTATCTGGTCATAAGAGGCGACTTATTGACTGGATGTCAAATTCGTCAACTTGGCAGATAACGTTTCTCATAATATGGATCACAGGTTTGTTGGTCAGGCAACAAACAACAGTTGTTTGATAAATCATCTTTATTATTTAGGTAATAGGTAACATTTCGAAAATACATATTTAACAAGCTCCATTGCATATCTGTAATAACATCAATATCTACAACTGTACAACATAATACATCTAAAACGATTCCATCTCGCTGAATAACCAGTTCAAGCAGTTGGCCACTTCAATTTGATTACCTGTTTGCCGGAGTTAGATTTGAGTGAGTATGGTTTTACGCCCCTTTTAGCAATATTCCAGCAATATCACAGCGGGGGACACAAGAAATGGGCTTCACACATTGTACCCATGTGGGGTATCGAATCTGGGTCTTCGGCGTGACGAGCGAACGCTTTAACCACTAGACTACCCTACACCAGTTAGCCATTGACGTCAGGGGTGGAACAAAGTTTTCAATAAAAAGTGGCAAAACTTGAGGCAAAATTATTTCCCGAGTATTGGCTTGAGCTTAATTATAATAGAAGTACCAGGTCCCTTATAATATCAAATGGTCGATCCACAGAAAGTCGTCACTGCTAGTTGACAAGCGCGTCTGTGGCTCAAGTCAAAAGAAGTCAACGATTTATCCATGACGTCTATAAGGTCTGGCGTTTTAAAGATATGTTTTACCGTTCATAATATCACCACTAAACACTACACATGTTTTGTTTGTTTTAGAAAAAATACGTAGCTGCAAATCCGACTAACAAATAATCAGTCTCATATGGCCTCACACTCAGGAAAGCTGAAACCGATAACGTGATATTTTACATAGAATTATGCTTTTGTTTAGGATTTCATTAAATTCAACTAACTTCACATATAGAACATGACAATCTTAGGTCGCTATATATAATTCCCCCTGCGACCATGTTTTCAACTGTCACCATGCTTAAATCTATTACCAAGTACTGTGAACATATGAGCTTAGAAACTAGCATCGCGGCACATAGTCAATGGCAGGCACAAAAAAAGTGACAATCCCCCGTCATTAACTTTATGAGCTTTGGTGCTATTTTTTTTTGCGTTATAAGCCTCCCGTGGGTCCGTCTAATCTTCAAGAATAAAACAGAAAAATATTCTTAAAATCAGTGTTTTCCCCCGCACTAAATGGAAACTTGCATTGTTTTAACGCTTGTATTATAAGCAAGACTGACTTAACAACACTTCACCGCCGTCAACATATTCAACTAACGTTTTTAATAGAATCCACATGACCTGATTTATATACTACATTTCTCCTTACCTACCGACCAGTATATTTAACAAAAAATGTTCATAAACTAAGACATATATAAGCTGTAAACTGTTAGAACGCACAGTCATTGCCACACAAGATGTTCCGACAACTTATGTTTCAATAAATCACAATGACAGCATCTATAAAATATACCAACTGATTTTAAATATAAAAATAGGCCTTGCATCCACCTGTACGAATGAACAACTATAATTTTCATGGAATGTTCCATACGATATGGGGCCAGAAGGGTGAGTGAGTTTAATTTTACGCCGAGTTTAGAAACAGGCCCCCACCGCCTATTATAAACACACACACACACACACACACACACACACACGCACGCACGCACACCCACACACACACGCACGCACGCACGCACGCACGCACGCACGCACACACACACACACACAGCCCAGAAGAGGTTTTAGTTTCATAATGGTTTTACAATGTTAATGTATCACCTCACTTGTCACCCGCCTTTATCCAGTCTATTACATGTAGTTTTGAGCTCGATTCGAATGACACGGTACTGAAAATAGCAGCCAGTTAAATTACACGTGATCAGCGAGACAAATTTAGTGACACGTTAGTATATAGAGAAAAGCGGTATGGGAGTGGATGACGTCACTTCGGAAACGATACAATGGCGGAAATATAATACACAGGATAGTTGATGATGCTGACTGGCGTGTTGGCGATGATAATGAAGACATTGTACGCATTGTACAACTTGAGCTGAGTGGTTTCCTTAAATGCTTTGAATCACAGTGTTATGACATAAATATTCATATATCACATTGTTTTATACGACTTGAGTAGATTACTTGCCATTTAAGGGTTTCCTGTCAGTACGGGTCAGTGTTAAACTAAAACACTTCGTCTAATTCGAAATGTTTAACTATTTACTTTATTTACTACAGATTTTATGAATTTCCATTGGCATTCGTGTTAAGCTCGGTCACTGTTTGGGAACGAGGAATGATGTTAACTCAATTGTTCCATTTGACAGGTAATGCCGTTTATTCGTCACACCCGAATTCGGTACTTCCATTGTATCATTGAACGAAAGCACTCAGATAGAAAACACGTATTCGCGTCATCGATATTGATGTCACAGTTCTAACGACGTGTTGTCATGGTAACGTGACATTTTAACCGTTAACTTATGACGAGTTACAGGCGATAGACTAAACATTTTAGTATAATCTACGATAATCAGTTTCGGTGAAATCTAAAGAAATCAGGCACGATTTTGGTACAATGGTGTCCGAATCAATTTCACTGAATAAGTTCGGTATCATAAACGTTTAGTATATTTTATTGTAATAACGACTTAAAAAAATCAAAAAATCATATTTCACAAATAAAAATATTTCACGATCCCTAACATTTTTTGTCTAGAATATAAACTAGATCAAGCAGTTAACTGTTTCCTTTTAAGGCTAATTCCTATATTAAATCCGGTTAACAGCTGCCCGTAAATTCTACCTCTACTTACTGACCTACATTAAATACAGTCAAAGGAAAGTCTTCCTCCTTGGAACGTTGCAATGTCATCCCGAATGATCAGTTACGTTCACGCTGAGCTGATCATACAACTAACTTTGGACCTATTCACGTCATTTCACTTTGATATCTATTTCTTCATGGGGGATGGGCGTTTTGTTTGCCCGATTTTACCACACAGTAAACTACGGATATAACGAACTGAAATGGACGCTTACGTTAGTTCGAAATAACCGTAGTTCGTTTGACCCATTTCGACTAAAATAAACAGCAAATGGCTGGGGCAAAAGAATCTGGGCCCCGATCCACAAAGCGCTCGTACACATTACGACCTGTCGTAACTCTATAGTTTATCATATGCTTACGAGTGACGTAGCGCTACGAACGCTCTGTGGATAGGGGCCAGGGCCCTTATTCTCGAAACGTTCGTAGCCCTAAGAATTCGTAACTTTGATCGTAGCCAATGTGTTAACAATGGGCTTAAGAAGTTCGTAGGGCTACGAACGTGTCGAGAATAGCTAGCCAGTTCGTTATTTCCGTCTGTTCTTATAAACGCGGTTTGACTGTATAGAATTATTAATACATCGAAGTACGTACATGTTGTACATACTACGCTACAGAACCCTGTAGTCTTTCTTTGTCGACCAATGGTGTTATCGTATCCGTGGAAAACGTGCCAACCGACAGTGGCCTCAATCACTTAAGCTCTGTGATCAGCTGTAGGCGTGTGTGGATGGGTTCAACGTTGTTTTCAAAACTGTTTAGTTATGACAGAGGGCCTGCTTAGTAGGGGAGGAAATGCCGGAATGATGATGTTGGTCGTGTATCGCTTTGTGAAACTGCGCGCATTGAGGTACGTCGGCGACTAAGAATCAAACTCAGGCTGAATAAGGGCCTCGCTGCCTTAATTTTCGGATCCTGACATATCTAGGGAAGGTGATCATCGAACACTCGGGTCTCAAAAGGCCAGGGTTCTAGTGCCCCCTCTCCTTCCCACCTCCGTATGTTTCGCAATTATCACTTAAGTCCCACAGCATCTATGAAACACTGTATTTGTACCTGAAGACTATGAACATATGCGGATGATTCCTAAGTACACCTTTAATGGCTTCGTTTGGTATTTACAATGGCTAAATGTTGTATGAATAGTGCTAATAAGTTTCCATATCATATGTGCAACGGTTAGGCCACACCTGGATACCTTATCTGCATATTGTTATGTGAGGAATCGCGGGAATTCACGAAGCGGTGGGATTACTTGTCACTTGTGACCCAAGTCAACAGATACCTGACTCCTAATCATCGTCCTATTGAAGAAGGAAGTCAGTGTAACAGAATCCATTTCCGTGTTCAATCCATTCCTGGTTTTTCCTTTTTCGAAAAGGAGAAAATACCCAGATCAACATTCGTGTCAGCTTGCCACTTCCAATTTTATGTGCGTTTCGAATGTTTCATCCTTTCTGTAATCTGTTGACTCTGACCTTCTTCTACTGTAGAGAGTTTTCATTGACAGGTCTTCCGGTTCGTCTTGCACAGGCGCAACATTAACTTCCTGTTTTACATACGGGACCGTGTGGTCATCGGGATCGTCGAATCTGTCCTCGTCATCGTCCAGTGTTGGTCTCAAACGACCGTTAATTAGCTGTAAATCACACTGACTGTCGTAATTGTCAAAGGGGTCGATTTCTGGACTCCTGATTGGTGTCTGATCCACAGAATGAGTGTCTTTTCTTGCTGGAGTCACATCCTCGTTGTGAGACTCGTGTTTGATTGGTTGAGGTCTGAGGTTATTGGGCTCCTGTTGGGCGATTCTGGCGGAGTGGGGTCTGGCCCCTCTCTGGCCTTTCTTGATGTTCCGAGGATGCTGAAGAAACCTGGAATGAATTGATGCAAGGTGTATCAATCAAATATATGTAAACAACAACAACAAAAACAACAAAAACAGCTGATGCTTTCTTTGGAGAAGTCGGGTGATCTCTAAAAATGTTACTTTTTTAATCTTTAATCTTCGCAAAGACACGAGGGCCTGTGGTATTTGGAGGTTACTTAAATTCCTGATTAGAAAGGTGATAAATTTGTTATAATCCAGTTTAGATCCTGGAAATGGATGAAGCCTTTGCAAAGAAGCATTTCGGAGCATCTACGAGTCCCCCTTCCCAGCCGTTCCTGTGGATATTAGAGAGTGTGTACTTTTTTTGCCTTGATAAGCGACCGCTTTAAGTACTGGCTCACTGCTTAAGCTCACCACTCGCTCAACAATAGCAGTATACTGTCAGTCAGGACAAAAATCTGTTGGACGTCAATACTTACTGGTATGTGAGTCGTTTTCCTTGCACCTTCTTGATAATGTTCATCTTGTAATAGTAGCGCAGGGCGCGGGACAGTTTCTCGTACGTCATGTTGGTCCTGTTCTTCTGGTGCCCCCACAGTTCCGCTAGACCAGTTGGGTTCATGATGCGGAATATCAGCTCATCCTGTTTCTCCCAGGTGACAAAGTCCCGGTACTTGTTGTCCAGCAGCAGCTGGTGGATGAACTCCCACAACAACCGGCATTCTGAGGACAGAACAGGACATTGGTACTCCCCTAATAACCGGCATTCTGAAGACATTGATACTCCCATAGCAACAGGCATTCTGAGGACAGAAGAGGACACTGAAAATCCCATAATAACAGGCATTCTGAGGACAGAAGAGGACAATACTCCCATAATAACAGGCATTCTGAGGACAGAAGAGGACATTTATACTCCCATAACAACTGACATTCTGAGGACAGAAGAGGACATTTATACTCCCATAAGAACCGACATTCTGAAACAGAAGAGGACACTGATACTCCCATAATAACAGGCATTCTGAGGACAGAAGAGGACATTTATACTCCCATAACAACCGACATTCTTGGGTCAGAAGAGGACATTTATACTCCCATAAGAACCTGCTGTCAGAGGACAGAAGAGGAAATTGATGCTCCCATAATAACAAGCATTCTGAGGACAGAACAGGACATTGATACTCCCATAACAACCGACATTCTGAGGACAGAAGAGGACATTGATACCCCCATACAACTGCTGTCAGAGGACAGAAGAGGACACTGATACTCCCTTAATAACAGGCATTCTGAGGACAGAAGAGGACATTGATACTCCCATAATAACAGGCATTCTGAGGACAGAAGAGGACATTGATACTTCGATAACAACCTGCATTCTGAGGCAAGGAAAGGGCATTGATACGCCCATAACAACCGACATTCTGAGGACAGAAGAGGATATTGATACTCCCATTCTTATTGATTTGCATTCTGAGGACAGAACAGGGCATACCATTGATACTTCCATAACAACCTGCATTCTGAGGGGGGACAGAAGAGGACATCGATACTCCCATAACAACCTACAGTGTGAGGAAAGAAGAGAATATTGATACTTCCTAAACAACCCGCATTCTGAGGACAGAAGAGGACATTGATACTCCCATCTTACCCCCTTCGCCTTTCTTGAGGTGGGACATGTGGAGATCGGCTGACACGTCATGCGATATGGAGCAGTCTTGTGATTGGTGCATATGATTCTCTATCCCCTCTCGGAATTCCATTTCCTCATCGCCTGTAATGCAAAACAATGTCTGATACAGACAAAACAAGAATTACATTTGCATAAGATTGACGAAAACACGAACGAACTGCCGATATCAGTTTGAGAGTTGTTAGTCGCATACATTGGTCTGACTGTCGAACTTGTCGACCTCGAAGACGCACATCTCAGCCGACCTTGAGTTCGGTGACCCCTTTAACACGTCTACATAAACGTCGTCGAAATTCCGGCATATGGTACTCATTAGAGCTCTTTGTTCGTGTGTGGCTGTGGGGTAGCCTAGTGGTTAAAGCGTTCGCTCGTCACGCCGAAGACCCGGGTTCGATTCCCCATACGGGTTCAAAGTGTGAAGCCCTTTTTTGGTGCCTGGAATATTGCTGAAAGCGGCCTAAGGTCATACATTCCAGCAATATGACAGCGGTTTGTAATTTATTGTTTTTGAAACAATAGGACACCTTTCCGTGATGTGTTAAACTGAACAATAGTTAATCCGCATAATTTCACTGGGAACGGTACTGTTCGGATTAACGGGGTTCCACTATATAATTGTATCCACGCCTTTTGTTTCAATACCATCTGTATCTATACCTGCCATCATCGATATTCTGAGTTTGTCATATCTCAACTTTTTCAACACAAAACGCAAGAACCTTTTCGTTCTTATTTGTGTGCAGTGTGAAAGACATGATGATAAGAAAAGGCGTAATTTAAATAAAATTACATTGCTATTTCATATTTTGTTTAACAACAAACACGCCATTGATATAGCTGACTATTATTCATCACAAAGCCCCCTTTAAGAAATCACCTCGAAGTACCCCTTTAACCCTACCTTCAGGGGGCGACTCGGGATCTGACAAGGCACTGTCTGTGTCCGTGTTGGTTAAGGCAGGACTCAACACGCTCTCTGTAAAAGAAAAAGCTCTTTCAGCAAACCAGGAAGTCTACTTTTAACATTTACTTGCCCGTGTATAACCTATTCATGGATTGTTGTGCCTATCATATTGCCACTGTGCTTTATGTCAACATGTAGAATTGCTCTTAAACATAATTTTATGCACAAAATTGCAGTACGTGTGTACAAATTTGATGCCCCCCCTCAAGCTCCCCAGAACAAAATGGGTGGGGAACCCCCCCCACCCCCCACCCCAAGCCACAAATGTGCTGGGTCTTGATCCTAATAACGATCTTATCTTTAGGACTGCCTTCACTACTCTTCCATGGCATTATGTAGCCATTGTACTATGATGGCTTTGTGGTTCGTGATCTGTCACGTAACGAAATCTCCTGCAAGGAAACTCGGTCTCAAAACAAACCCGTGAAGATCCGGGACCGAGGTTAGAATTGGTCTTCAGCAACCCATGCTTGTTGTAGGAGGCGACTAACGGAATCGGGTGGTCAGGCTCGCTGTTTTGGTTGACACATGTCATCATATCCCAATTGCGTAGATCGATGCTCATGCTCTTGATCACTGGATTGTCTGGTCCAGACTCGATTATTTACAGATCGTCACCATTCAGCTGGAATATTGCTGAGTGCGGCGTAAAACTAAACTCACTCACAAACTCGGGACCCATTCGTTATGATAGCTTCGTTTTGAGCGGGGCGATGGGGTAGCCTAATGATTAAAGTGTCCGCTCGTCACGCTGAGGGCCCGGGTTCGACTCCCCAAATGGGTACAATGTGTGAAGCCCATTTCTGGTGTCCCCCGCCGTCATATTGCTGGAATATTGCAAAAAGCGGCATGAAACCATACTCACTCACTCGTTTTGGGCACTAATTAAAAAAATAGCCGACCAATGAATTAATGGGATAGAGTTGAGTAAGACTTAGATATTTAGTTGTTGATTTCCATTACATGCCTATACTAACAAATGTGCCCAGGACAAAAATCAGTCATAATGGGATAGAGAAGGGTAAGAGTTTAGTTTAGCAGGTGACTTCCAGTAAATCTACAATGGCAAATGTAAATAATAAGTACATTTTTAATGCACTAAACTCCATTTACTAGGTGAATGCTCATAGCGCAAACAGATATAATCTGATTTGATTATTATCATTACCACGGATAATTCAAGCTGACCGTGATGCGCGAGAAGGTTAATAGCCACATGCATTATCCCACCGGGTACCCATGCAAATACCCAGAAAGGAGCCTGGACACCCGAGGATGGATGTAAGCTTGTTGCAATGAGCAGCGCCAGAGAATACGCAAAACCCCATATTCTCAAGACTACTTTGAATGTGGACATAAGAGACTACGTTTATTATAGAGCTCTGGGACAACGTGCACAAAGCAATCTTAGCGTTACGACGGTCGTAAATCCGGTGGTAACACACCTATAAGACGGCCGTAGCGCTTAGATAGCTTTGTGCAAGTGGGGCCTGGCGTCTAATGGAGATCCGACGTATATTAGTGAGTGGGTGTGAGTGAGTTTAGTTTTACGCCGCTTTTAGCAATATTCCAGCAATATCACGGCGGGGGACACCAGAAATGGGCTTCACACATGGTACCCATTTGTGAATCGAACCCGGGCCTTCGGCGTGACGAGCGAACGCTTTAACCACTAGGCTACCCCACGCCCCAGTTTATGAAGGAGCGTGTAGCAATGAGCAGTGCCAGAGAACACACAACAGAAACCATTCTCTACGACTACCTGGAATGTGGACTTTAGGGCTGAGATCTTTATGTGGTGGCAGCGGGGACGGATATGACGTCACAGGCCCTGGTAGGATGGGGATGTAGGACGTGTGCGGCCTGTCGGTGCTGAATGTGGGCTGCACGCTGCCACTTGTCGGGCTGTCCGTCAGAAGAAGGATGCCATTGGTTCTGTGGTCCTGGCTCTGTATCAGAGCTGCTGAAATGATGAAGTAGTGAGTTAGTTAGGTTTAACCCCAATATTACAGCTATATGGCGGCGGTCTGTAAATAATCGAGTCTGGACCAGATAATCCAGTGATCAACACCGTGAGCATCGATCTAGGCAACTGGGAACCGATGACATGTGTCAACCAAGCCAGCGAGCCTGACCACCCGATTCCGTTAGTCGCCTCTTACGACAAGCAAGGGTTACTGAAGATCAATTCTAACCCGGATCTTCACGGGTGTATCTTCTTGGACTCCAGTCAAGTAATACTTTTTACCGATATATTCCAGGGCAAATTATTGCACATTTGGTTAAAAAAGGCTGAATTTTTTTCTTAACGTTGTATGGCCGTAGACACATTATCGGCATGAGCGATATTTTGCTTTTAGTGATATTCCAGAAAATATCAGAAAAAGAATCCAGCTGACCTGGCGGAGGTGGTTTCAGTTGTGGACATGTTGTATGGCGACTGAAGCCCGAAGCGACATCTGGCGGCGGGATTGTGGAAAAGGGGAGTAAGAGCAGGGTGGTGTCACTGCAAAGATAGTGTGTTCATGATAGCAACATCTGTTAACAAAGGTATGACAACTCAGTGTGGAGTAAGCTTGGAGCATTGCTGCTCTGTAATGCTACTACCTCATAGCCAAATTTGTGATAGCAAATGTATATAATGTATACTCAAAAGAACGCCTGAATTTTTCATTTGACTTGTTAAGCACAAAACAGAACAAATAGATCTGTTGATCTGATATGGATACGAAACTCTGAAACCCTTATGATTTGTACTGCTTTAAAGCGTTCAAACGCAAATTCATTCAAATCAAGGACCATTACATAGCGTCCGCAGCGCAAAGACATTCAAGAGCCAGTCCAGATGGTGACATACTCGTTTAGCTGTGCAGGTAACGTGATATTCATGACACATGAACCTGTGAAGTCAATAACAATGTGTACAGTACAGAATGACTTATAGTAAGCACATATTTGTCAAACAATGTCACTGGCCGTACAACCCCCAAAAGATCCCTTACTGACGCCCCACCCCTACAAAACAGACCCCCTCACCCCTACGTTTTTCCCCATATACAATTGATTTTGTAAAGGTTATGATTTGATGCGTCAACATATAGACAACTATACACAGAGCGAGAACAGAATGTCATCGTGACATTTCAAATTAGGTCATGTCACGTTGATATCTGTAATGGTGTTTTTTCCAGGAGTAATGATCAGGTCATAAATAAATATACGTCGCTGAACTCTTACGCCGAACATGCAACAACTCGAAACGCAGCTACGTTATTTATGGACACTTTTTTACAATGAAACCCCTGTTTTATTTCTGCGGCCTGAATTCGAGCCTTTGTCCTGAATTCAATTCCGGTATTCACAAAACACATAAACTGACATACAAAAGAAAGTATACACCTGGTGTTTGGGGGTTATTGTGACGTGATGTGTTTGGGGGTTATTGTGACGTGATGTGTTTGGGGGTTATTGTGACGTGATGTGTTTGGGGGTTATTGTGACGTGATGTGTTTGGGGGTTATTGTGACGTGATGTGTTTGTCACCAATCCCTAAGTGAAGCAGGTCTTAGACGTTTAGCACCTAGCACAGGCAGGGTACAGATAAATGTGGTAAATCTCATGTTTCTATCAAAATGTGTACGCTTTTCACTGTCTTCTGTGATATTTCAGCTCCATTAGCACCTGAAGTGAGTGAGTGGGTGAGGTTTTACGCCACTTTGAGCAAAATTCCAGCCATAACACGGCAGTGGGACATTTGGAACAGTCTTCACACATTGTACCCATGTGGGAAATCGAACCCGGGCCTTCGGCGTCACGTGCGAACGCTTAACCACTAGGCTACGCCATCGCCCCTAACGACTAGAGACGAGAGTGACAGATACGTAAACAAATACATGCTTTTATATCAATAAGAACATTTGTCTACTCATATTTACCATCATATACTAAAGCATTGTTACATCCGACTCACACACTCACTCACTTGCTTGCTATGATCACCGCCATGTAGCTGGAATATTGCTGAGTGTGGCAATGTTGAAACAACAAACCAACCTACTATGATCAAATGAGGAATTTAGGTGCTGTTGTTAGTAACTTACAACTCAGTTGTTTAATACCCGTGAAGATCCGGGGTAGAATAGGTCTTCAGCAACCCATTATTGCCACAAAAGGCGACTATGTTTGTCGTAAGAGGCGACTAACGGGATCGGGTGGTCAGGCTCGCTGACTTGGTTGACACATGTCATCGGTTCCCAATTGCGCAGATCGATGCTCATGCTGTTGATCACTGGATTGTCTGGTCCAGACTCGATTATTTACAGACCGCCGCCATATAGCTGTAATATTGCGGCGTAAAACTAAACCCACTCACTCACCCAGTTGTTCAAAGGTTAAGGTATGTTGATTTCAACAGATGTGTACTAAGATTACAGAAGTTGAAATCTACACACCCCGCTTCTCACTGGAGGATTGTGCAAGCGTCACGACATAAAGATAAGGTTTCATATGTCACAGCCAAAGAATTTGAGTTTCGGATATCCTTAAATGGATAGGGTGGTGAAGATGTCTTCTATAACCATACACAATCACGTCGTGTCGCATCGAGTGACCCCGGTATTTTGAGGTCTTTTGTGCAGTAGCTGTTGCTGTACATGATGGTGCTGCGGGTGGACATAATTGTGATCCGTCGTATATTGCAAACATGGCTGGTCTGTTGTGGATCGACCGTCATTCTCCCAATACATTTTGTCCCGTTGCTTATCGGAGAACCGACATCTTCCGGTATTCGGAACATGAAGAGCAGTCTATTGGAGCCTCGACGTTTATTAGAACTCTGCTGTCTACCTGAGACACAACGTTTATTAGTTCATTAAGGAGCTTTTTGCAAATGAGCTGTGCCGGGCGTCTACTCGAGGGTCGCCTTTTATTAGAACTCTGCCGTCTACTGGAAACCCAACGTTTATTAGACCTCTGCCGTCTACTGGAGACTGGACGTTTATTAGAATTCTGCCGTCTACTGGAAACTCGACTCTGCCTTGTACTTGACACTCGACGTTTATTAGAACTCTGCCTTCTATTGGAGACCCAACGTTTATTAGAACAATGCCGTCTACTGGACATGCGACGTTTATTAGAAATCTGCCGTCTACTGGAGACTCGACGTTTATTAGAGCTCTGCCGTCTACTGGACACTCGACGTTTATTTGAAGTCTGGCGTCAAATGGAATCCTTTATGTAAGCGCCACGTCAACTAGACCAACGAAGACCCAGGTTCGATTCCCCACATGGTTACAATGTGTTCTAGTGTTCCCCCGTTGTGATATTGCTGGAATATTTCTAAAAGCGACGTAAAACTCACTCATTCACACATTGGGCATCCGACGTCTTTTAAAGGAAGTACGGTATTAAGAACCTGTTGTGCCTTTACATCATGCCCGAGTTGCTGTGTGTAACGTGAAGGGGAATTTAGCTGTTGAACCAGGAAGTTGGTATATGTTGTAATTGTCCCTTCATTGTGTTCATTGACTGTGCTAAACACAGAGCACGATTTTGAATACTTTTGCGTCAATATGGCTATTTTAAGTAATCACTCACGGAAAATTGGCATCCCCCGCAAATTGGATTCAAGCACTTTATATTTACTTTTTAAATTCGATGATAATTTAATGATAGTCCGGGATCAAGTCCAACAAAAGCATCTGCAAAGCCTTATTTCACAAATAAAGCTTTTGTTAGGCCCTTAGATCTCGCCACCATTGTATCTACTACTTTTGAACCCCCAGTTAACTTCCCGGCTCCACGTGGCACTATTGTGCCGCTATGATGTGTTGACAGGGGGTAACATTGTACCGTACGGTATGATCAATAATTCCTGTCTAACGAACCCTCTCCCCGGTCCATCTCTCAAGTAGTACAAGTTCGGCTCGTCGGCTTTGATGTCCACTTTATCTATGTTGTAAGTTTTGACTGACCATATAGGATCGGTGGCTCGCTTACGACTATCACCCTCGTGTTCCCCCGGCTGGTAGAGGTACCTCACTAGGGCCCTATCTGGTATCTGTTTCTCCTTCCCACGCAATGGTGCAGCCGACTCTGCCACTATTTTCATGTTTCATCGAGGTCAACGCGACATAGCGGCACAATAGTGCCACGTGTGGCCGGGAAGTTAACTGGGGGTTCAAAAGTAGTAGATACAATGGTGGCGAGATCTAAGGGCCTAACAAAAGCTTTATTTGTGAAATAAGGCTTTGCAGAGGCTTTTGTTGGACTTGATCCCGGACTATCATTATATATACTACTACCAGAAACACCTGAATGGCATTTGCTGACTAAACTTATTGTATCCAACATCAAGTCCAATAACCGCCGCATCAAAACAACCGTTGCACAAACAAATGTCATTAACCGACAACAACTACTGCAAAACCGGTCGCCAATACCCACTGCACCATCCTCATCACCAAAAAGGGCTGCAACGACACGATCACCAACAACTGCTGCACCATTACGACCAACGACAACTACTACATAAACGACCGACAGGAACTCATGCATCATCACGACCAATGACAACTACTGCATAAACGACTGCCAACAACCGCTGCACCATCACGACCAACGACAGCTACTGCATCAACGGCTGCCAACAATTCCTGCACCCACACGATCGACAAAGACTACCGTATAAACGACCAACAACAACAACCTCTGCAGCATCACGACACAACTACTACACAAACGACCGCAAAAGACCCCGTCTCACCAACTCGACCGAAGAATTTCCCATCAACGACAGGCAACCACTTCAGCATTAAACGATAACCTACAACTGCTGCATCAACACAACCACCAACACCCACCATTATACCAACTATACACAGCTTCTCTAGTATACCAACTCTACACAGCTTCCCCATTATACCAACTATACACAGCTTCCCCATTATACCAACTATACACAGCTTCCCCATTATACCAACTATACACAGCTTCCCAATGATACCAACTATACACAGCTTCCCTATTATACCAACTATACACAGCTTCCCCATTATACCAACTATACACAGCTTCCCAATGATACCAACCACACAAAGCTTCCCCATTATACACAGCAGCTTCCCCAGTATACCAACTATACACAGCTTCCCCATTATACCAACTATACACAGCTTCCCCATCATACCAACTATACTGACGATGCAAGAACATGCTCACAAACACCCGTTGCACCAACACAATAGGCTGTAACGAAATAAACCCGACTGTTACACTGATTACTTACATCTGGCAAATCGACATTCAAAAATACCTACATCAATACTTCTTAACATAGGTACACCACACGCAAGCCTAACAAAGCATTGCCCACCGAAATAGGAAGGAGTTAATTTAAAACATGACTTCTTATTAGATCCTTAATACACTGATCGGTAGTTAGCAGAGAGCTAGTTAAATATTGATGTCTACTGTAGGGGCGGTGGGGTAGCCTAATGGTTAAATAGTCCAATCGTCACGCTGAAGACCCGTGTTCGATTCTCCAAATGGGTAGGACCCGTGAAGATCCGGGGTAGAATAGGTCTTCAGCAACCCATGCTTGCCACAAAAGGCGACTATACTTGTCGTAAGAGGCGACTAACTGGATCGGGTGGTCAGGCTCATGTCATCGGTTCCCAATTGTGCAGATCGATGCTCATGCTGTTGATCACTGGATTGTCTGGTCCAGACTCGATTATTTACAGACCGCTGCCATATAGCTGTAATATTGCTGAGTGTGGCGTAAAACTAAACTCACTCACTCACCCACTCCACATGGGTAGAATGTGTGAAGTCCATTTCTGGTGTCCCCCGCCGTGATATTGCTGGAATATTGCTAAAAGCGGCGTAAAACTATAATTCACTCACTCACTTTTTACTGTATTCAAGCGCAACACGATGACAGCGTTATTCGGAGTATCATTTTACGCCGTCAGCAAGACTCCAGAAAATTTGGTCTTCGGTGTAACGTGGCGGCGCTTTAATGAAGGGGGGATAAACATTTGTTGAAGTCAACTTAAATGGGTTATACCTTGTGAGCATCAAAGTTTTATAATCGGGACGCTTCGGAAACCGACAACCATCTCCTTTCATCACACCGAAAGAGTGCATGCATAGTGAATGAGTGAGTGAGTGAGTGAGTGAGATTTTTGCCGCTTTTAGCAATATTCCAACAACATCACGGCGGGGGACACCCAAAATGGGCTTCACATATTGTACCCATGTGGGGAATCGAACCCGGGTCTTCGGCGTGAAGAGCGAACGCTTTAACCACTAGGCTACCCCAGCGTCCCCTTACCGAAAGATCGCACATGGAGCACAACAGAGACATGTTGATAAAATATTGTTTTTTAAATGTCCACCACACTGCGTAGTCGCGGCACCGCCCCCATTTCCGTTACGTGTTCTCCTACGACGATCGGTAATTGTCGTCATCGACTGTGACATCTTCAGGAAACAACGCATAAAACAAAATAGCAACACGGACCTGATCATAAGGAAAATGGTTATAAAATTCACAGGATATGTCTGGTTTTATTTCCGTCTACCTGTGTTGTAACTGGTAGTTCGCAGTATGACTAAACCGAGTACCGAGAACAGCCCCCAAGGGGTGCGCTTCGACACCCCCGGGCGCTCGCGGCACACCAAATATGCATCCGCATAATAAATATAATTCGTGTTTCACTGGGATTAATATAAGCGAGATATATTTTTAAACTGTGTCTGCATGTTTTATTACAAAACCGGTCACAGACTACTGCTTATACGACTTGAAGTTGATAAACTGTTTTCAACAGCACGGCACGTATCAAGAGTGAGTGTGGTTTACGAGGCTTTAGCGATATTTCAGTAATGTCACAGAGGGTTTATCACAGTGCTTTGCATGCACACCTGTTTTATAACAATATATATACCACAACTCACACAGCTGTGAGTACGGTTTTACGCCGCTTTTAGCAATATCACGGCGGGGGGCAACAGAAATGGGCGTCACATATTGTACCCATGTGGGGAATCGAACCTGGGTCTTCGGCGTGACGAACCACTTGGCTACTCCACCGTCCTGTTGAGAAAGAGTGTGTTGAGGGGTATGTCGCTTTAATAAATATTCCAGCAGAACAATGGTGGGGACACCAAATGTTGTAACTGTCGTATTTAGAACGAAACATGACGATCAAAGCTTCCCATTTAATATACCAACCACACACAGCTTCCCCATCTTAACTACCATACGCAGCTTCCCCATTATACCAACCATACACAGCTTCCCCATTATGCCAACTATACGCAGCTTCTCTAGTATACCATCTCTACACAGCTTCCCCATTATACCAACTATACACAGCTTCCCAATCATACCGACTATACACAGCTTCCCCATTATACCAACTATACACAGCTTCCCCATTATACCAACTATACACAGCTTCTCTAGTATACCATCTCTACACAGCTTCCCCATTATACCAACTATACACAGCTTCCCAACGATACCAACCACACAGCTTCCCCATTATACCAACTATACACAGCTTCCCCATCATACCAACTATACACAGCTTCCCCATTATACCAACTATACACAGCTTCCCCATCATACCAACTATACACAGCTTCCCCATTACACCAACTATACACAGCTTCCCCATCATACCAACTATACACAGCTTCCCTATTATACCAACTATACACAGCCATACACAGCTTCCCAATGATACCAACCACACAGCTTCCCCATTACACCAACTATACACAGCTTCCCCATTACACCAACTATACACAGCTTCCCCATCATACCAACTATACACAGCTTCCCATTACACCAACTATACACAGCTTCCCCATCATACCAACTATACACAGCTTCCCCATTACACCAACTATACACAGCTTCCCCATTACACCAACTATACACAGCTTCCCCATCATACCAACTATACACAATTTTCCCAAATTGACAAGAAATATCTGACTTTGGACACGAATAAGAAAACACAAATGCACCCATTGAAGTTATAAATTCTGTGAAAATACCTTATTGATAGTCTGTACACTATGTCTAAATAATTAGGTGTGCCTGTTCAACTGGTGATATACTGCTTATTACGGAACCGATACGTGTTGCCGATTTTCTAATTTTAGTCGAATGTTTGTATCAAATAATAGTGACATGAAGCAAGGTGTATAGAGAATATTCTTATTTCTCAAATCTCAATCTACTGAAGGCATTGTGCTTCTAATGTTTCTAATGATTCGTCATGCCCTATTTTTGGCCGGGTGAAACTAAAAGTTGGAATCCGGTTAAAGTGAAATTCGAGTTGTTTTCTATGAAGGAAGGATGCGAAAAATACGATTTTTTCACAGTCAGCATCGAATTCTATTTGCTGTTTCAGAGACATTATAATTCTTTCACCATCCACCCATTCAGGGTTTGGGGGCGTCACACAGTAACTGACCCACATCTTGTTCCCTTCCGTGAAGCCTTTTCTGTAATAAGACAGCACTGTCTGAACCAAATATAGATTTGCTTCTACTCAGGATCTGAATTTCCCATCTTACTGAGGTTCCTTTTAAATCATAATCATACATTTTAATTGCCTAAGCGTTTGTCTATCACAAAGGTAACAGATAAATAGATGGGTAATGTCATAACCCTAACTGGTCCTAAAACGGAACCGGGAATAAATATCAATTATTAAAAGTTCCACACGGATGGAAATAACTGAGCGATTAGACGATGGAGGAAGGAAGGAATTTTATCATGTTTCGAGGAAGGTACTTAATTGTTCAAACAATTTTTTTTTATTTCCTACAAAGAATTCAACACTCGAACTAACCGATAAACAAAAGCACGTCGGTTGTTATGATTGAAGCACCATCGCTCAGACGTCCAATTAAATCCTCCTTCTCGTTTCGCCGGAACTGGCGATAAGGAAGTGATGCTCATTGGTTGAAATGTGCCACTAAAATTCATGAATGCCAGTCATCGCAAATCGTTTCCCGAACAGCAACATGCCACACATCCTCACGAAGGAAGCAACATAGACACCACTACAGGAAATGACATAATGATAATTGTCATGAATTTCCTTGAAGTAACGCTCGAAGCATCTTTACGATTTCCTGAAGTAATGCATGGAAATGTATATTGATTTGGCTTTTTGACCGGTCGATGAGGGGATAAAGAAATACCTGCCATTAGTGTACTGAACGAAATGTATTCTAATGGACTTCCTGATTGATTACATACATTATCTATCGCGTGATGTCCTCGTGGCACACTGTGTCTACATGAGAGAGAGAGAGAGAGAGAGAGAGAGAGAGAGAGAGAGAGAGAGAGAGAGAGAGAGAGAGAGAGAGAGAGAGAGAGAGAGAGAGAGAGAGAGAGAGAGAGAGAGAGAGAGAGAGAGAGTGTGTGTGTGTGTGTGTGTGTGTGAGCGAACCTGACCGTTAGAACAGCTGATAAATTTTGCATTGTTACAGTGTGGAACGAGATCGCTATGACTGCCAGAATATCGACGCATACAGTCTGCGTGCCCACCATGAACCTATCCTGTCCACCTCCAGCGGTAAAAACATCACTGCCAGAAGTCCGGCCTATCTCCCACAATGCAACTCTAGATCATGATCGTAAGACGCTCAAGACTAAAAGGGAAATCCGCTGTGTTAGTCAAACTTGGACAGGCGCTGCAAGAGGAGTGGACATGACTTCCTCGCATTGCCATTGGGAGATAGATTCGGACTATATCAAGCCGTATGAACGTTTGACGAATCATGGGCACATGACCCATTATTGTTGAAATCATCTTAAACATTCATCGTTAGACTACACAACCCTGCCATTTTTATTTTTTTTGCATCCGTACAAATCACCGTCTACATGTCCTGTTGATTGTCATACTACATCTAGTCCTTCCGTATTCTTAGCCATCATAATCATAATCATCATCATCATCATTCGATACCTGTTAGTATTTCTGTAACCATCTATTATTTTCGATTAGCTGATTATCCTCTTTGTAGAGTATATCATATACCGGCTGTTTTCGAGGAGGTTTCGCAGATGTTGGGACGCAACAGATTCCCGATGTTGGACTGAAAAGGACGCGATCATGCCTATTGGATCTCACGTCTACTTGTGGAGAGCGAAGCCAAATGACGCCAAAGTAATCGTCCGCGTTATCTGTCATTGGTTTAAAACAAAACCAGTAACTCACTGTGTCTGTCAAGATGGCGCCAGAGAGAACATGTGACGCGGTATCAGTATATGTCATGTTTTATGATCAGGGCCCAGTTCAACAAAAAACAAAACGTACTTACTTTCATGTTTGCCGATGAGCCTTTGTAGAGCGTTAAACAGGAGGTCTCCCGATGAGGGGTCACGCTCCATGAAGTCGGCCCTTGTCAAGAGACCGAGAGCCTTGCCTGAAACATGTAAACAAGGGTCAGTTTGTGTTTATAGGAGATACAATAGGGCAGCGTTCGAAATTAACGTGGGCCCTTAAGCCCGAAGCAGATTGTAAACCACTCGGACCCACAGCTTATGGCCGACAGCATTTTCACCAATAACTAAGAGTATTATTTCTAATTTAAAAAATACACACATTCCACACATTCTGATCAGCACCCACAACCTTTTATGGTTCTGGGTCCTTAGGGCCTGTAGTTTTCGGGGTTAAGGGCAAACACTGCAGTAGGGGCAAGTAAGACTAGAAACAGGCAACAAAGGTCAGCATGTGATTTCTGGAACAAACAGCAGGGGTTAGTGTTATTGTGGAAGCAGTCAACAGAAGTAAGTGTGACTGTAGGGACAGACAATAGGGTCGGTGTGACTGTAGGGACAGGCAACAGGGTCGGTGTGACTGTAGGGACATACAACAGGGTCAGTGTGACTGTAGGGACAGACAACAGGGGTCAGTGTGACTGTAGGGACAGACAACAGGGGTCAGTGTGACTGTAGGGACATACAACAGGGTCAGTGTGACTGTAGGGACAGACAACAGGGTCGGTGTGACTGTACAACAGGGGTCAGTGTGACTGTAGGGACAGACAACAGGGGTCAGTGTGACTGTAGGGACAGACAACAGGGTCGGTGTGACTGTAGGGACAGACAACAGGGTCGGTGTGACTGTAGGGACAGACAACAGGGGTCAGTGTGACTGTAGGGACAGACAACAGGGGTCGGTGTGACTGTAGGGACGAGTGTCCAGGTGTGACTGTAGGGACAGACAACAGGGGTCGGTGTGACTGTAGGGACAGACAACAGGGTCAGTGTGACTGTAGGGACAGACAACAGGGGTCAGTGTGACTGTAGGGACAGACAACAGGGGTCAGTGTGACTGTAGGGACAGACAACAGGGTCAGTGTGACTGTAGGGACAGACAACAGCGGTCAGTGTGACTGTAGGGACAGACAACAGGGGTCAGTGTGACTGTAGTCAGTGGACTGTAGACAACAGGGTCAGTGTGACTGTAGGGACAGACAACAGGGGTCAGTGTGACTGTAGGGACAGACAACAGGGGTCGGTGTGACTGTAGGGACTGTCGGTGTGGACAGACAACAGGGGTCAGTGTGACTGTAGGGACAGACAACAGGGGTCAGTGTGACTGTAGGGACAGACAACAGGGGTCGGTGTGACTGTAGGGACAGACAACAGGGGTCGGTGTGACTGTGTGACGGTGTGACTGTAGGGACAGACAACAGGGTCGGTGTGACTGTAGGGACAGACAACAGGGGGCGGTGTGACTGTAGGGACAGACAACAGGGGTCGGTGTGACTGTAGGGACAGACAACAGGGGTCGGTGTGACTGTAGGGACAGACAACAGGGGTCGGTGTGACTGTAGGGACAGACAACAGGGGTCGGTGTGACTGTAGGGACAGACAACAGGGGTCGGTGTGACTGTAGGGACAGACAACAGGGGTCGGTGTGACTGTAGGGACAGACTGTCGGTGTGTGACTGTAGGGACAGACAACAGGGGGTCGGTGTGACTGTAGGGACAGACAACAGGGGTCGGTGTGACTGTAGGGACAGACAACAGGGGTCGGTGTGACTGTAGGGACAGACAACAGGGGTCGGTGTGACTGTAGGGACAGACAACAGGGTCGGTGTGACTGTAGGGACAGACAACAGGGTCGGTGTGACTGTAGGGGACAGACAGGGGTTCGGTGTGACTGTAGGGACAGACAACAGGGGTCGGTGTGACTGTAGGGACAGACAACAGGGTCAGTGTGACTGTAGGGACAGACAGCAGGGGTCGGTGTGACTGTAGGGACAGACAGCAGGGGTCATTGTGACTGTAGGGTCAGACAACAGGGGTCAACACTCGTTTCGTATAATTCGTATGTTATGAGACCGAGTGTGGTATTTTATTTATTACCCGTCTTACATGCTTTAAATTGACAACATAGCGTATTTGTGTTATTTTTATGGTTTCAAACCGAAACCGGTTTCATAAAGAGGTTGCGGAAGAATGTTGTTCTGTAGTACACTTTTTGCATGACGTCACACTGTAATGACGTCACTACGCCTTGCTCGTCTGCCCCCTTAGTGGTAACCGATGTCAGTTGTCATCGCCTCGTACAGCCTCCTACATTAACTACTCCGTAGCACCCCGTTTCATAGTTTGGAGTTGCTTCACTCGGCGAACATCACTGGTGGAAACTTTGCGTTTATGTTTTTCGACGCATATAATGTCTCTGTTCGACTCCCAATTAAACAGCGACACGGTAACGTTCGCAATGTTTACATTCCCACAATGCATTTAAGTTGTAGAATGAATGAATTCACGTGTTTGTTATGAATGTAACAGTAGGTCCGTCACAACGTGACCAAATTGAGAGGTCATCGGTTATCCAATCAAATCGTTAGAATCTCAGGTCAAGTCGTTACGACATAGGTCAACGCGATACGACACTCGTGTGACGTACGAGATTAGTATGCAACTACCCATAGGTTGACCACTTGGGTAATAATGCAATATATCACACTCCAAAGAAACTATTTCAGAAGTGAACTTTCCACAGCAGACACAGGCTAGAAAATTATGATAGGCGTGGGAGTGGGTGAGCGAAATAGTCAGGTGCCCTTATTCAGGTGCGGGGTAGGTAGGGGTTGCTGTGACCTGTGCCCACACCTTCACTTACATGTAGGGGGAAGGGCGGTGGTTAACAATAAGGTAGGGTAAAGTGTGATGACAAAGTGTGCAGGACTTTATGTACTTGATAGACGTATTTCATAAGCGCAATGTACTAGAACATATCCTGTTGAAAATACATTGCGAAAGTAAGGCCAGTGTTTTTCATTTTATGTGTCAATAATTAATGCGTTCACGAAATTGTGGGTACGTCTAAATTTAGATAAAGTAACAATGATATTTTACTTGAAACTTTTAAAACAGGTTTCCAATCCATTAAATTTTGCGAAATAAATTTAGACTATTTCTATTCTATTTTCGAATTTCAGCGTTTGATTCTGGTCAGTCGAATCCTAATACCAAAATATTATACAAGATTATAAGGATGTCAAATGATGAATTGTTTGTTATTTAGAGAGAATGTTATTTTATGCCACAGTGATATTCAGGCCATATAACGACGACCTGTAAAACAATCGCACTTAGATCAGAAAAAGCAGTGGTTGATAGTGTAAGCAACGAAGCACGTAATTGGATCACGATGTCCGCCAATTTTCTGAGCCAAGGGCCTATCCACTAGATCCCCTTTTTCTTCTCAGTTACCAGTGCCGTAATAGGACAGTAGGTCGAATAAATCAAGTTGCATATATAAGGTTCAGATGATCACATCTATGTTGCAGGGTAAGAGTCAGGGTTTAGGGTCAGGGTCAGAGTTAGGGGTAGGGTCAAGGTCGGAGTTAGGGTCAGAGTTAGGGTTACGGTTATGGTCAGGGTCAGGGTAAGAGTAAGGGGTAGGGTCAAGGTCGGAGTTAGGGTCAGAGTTAGGGTTACGGTTAGGGTCAGGGTCAGGGTCAGGGGGTAAGAGTTAGGGGTAGGATCAGGGTCGGAGTTTGGGTCATGTCGGAACTAGGATAAAGGTCAGAGTTAGGGTTTGGGCCTGGGTTATGGTCAGGGTCAAGTTCAGTTTTAGGGTTTGGAAACACCTTTCGAGAGGGAAATTAATATCGGAAAAAAACTGCGGAGAAATAAAAAAATGAACCTTAGTAATGGTTCATGGGAATAATTCCCCTAAAGGAACTCTTACAAAGGAACATTTTCACTACTATAACACATACTTACCGTTCATGTCGAACTTGTCTGGTGAGACTGGCTCGATTGAGAACTCTGCCGCGCACCACTCCAGCCAGACTCGAACCTCGTTCTTGGTCCATGTGTGAGGCGGTTGGGCTAAAACAAAAACGGGTATGTAAGGTGTAACTTTCTGATGGCGATGTACAGCAATACTCACTATCGCAAAAAAACCCAAAACAAAACACCCCGCCAATGGACAACATGTGCGGTGTGTGCAAAGGAAGGATCCATTTCGATATACAGGGACTCCGGTGGAATCTGACGCAGTGCACGTGAAGGTCACGATCCACGTGTATTTGCGTGCAAAGGAAGAATCCATTATCGATAAACAGGGACTACGGTATAATCTGACGCAGTGCACGTGAAGGTCACGATCCACGTGTATTTGCGTGCAAAGGAAGAATCCATTATCGATAAACAGGGACTACGGTATAATCTGACGCAGTGCACGTGAAAGTCATGATCCACGTGTAGTTATGCGCAAAGGGGCGGTGGGGTAGCCTAGCGGTTAAAACGTTGGTTCGTCACGCCGAAGACCCGGGTTCGAATCCCCACATGGGTACAATGTGTGAAGCCCAGTTCTGGTGTCCCCCGCCGTGATGTTGCTGGAATATTGCTAAAAGCGGCGCAAAACCAAACCCAGTCAGTCAGTTATGCGCAAAAGAAGGATCCACTACCGGTAAACAGGGACTACGGTAGAATCTGACACGGTGCACGTGAAGGTCATGATCCACGTGTATTTGTCCTTCAGCAACATACACGTGATTCAAGAACTGTTACCCAGGTCCCAATCTCCCGCCACTGCTGTTTTTACTGACTGCACGGATTATGCAGATCTGTGGGTGGGTTCAATTGTCATGTCGGGTCATTCATATCTGCATGAACACCAATGTCAAGTTGAAAATGTTTTTTTTTATGAATCATTTATCTCAGTAATGTCCACAAGCCAGTAAACATAAATATTTACTGGAAAGAGTTCCTTCTGTTCCCCCAACTCTAAACCTAACCCTAAACCTAACTCTAAACCTAACCCTAAACCTAACCCTAACTTAAATTTTGGACTTTTAGTCATTGTTGTGTTAAGTTTTGTTAATAATTTTAGTATATATTAATTCATAAATATTATTTGGGATGGGGGAACGGGAGGAACTCTTACCTATTTACTAATTGATTCTTGTTTTACAGCTTAATATTCAGCACCTAAATATTTCTATCAGACCGAACTGAAGCACATATTCTTGAAAATAAACTTTCAATATTTATATGCATACAATACATAAAATACGTCCATATCAGCAAAATGGACCCTTTGATACGCATTGACAAACTGGAAGAAAATGTATACGAACTTATATATTTTTAGTAAATAAGTTTCACGGCTACTTCTAAAACGTGCCACCTGACTCCGTGCACCCTGGAACAGACTGGCCACGAGGACTATACGTTTGTCCCGTGAAGATCCGGGTTAGAACTGCTATTAAGCAACCGTAGGGGAGGGAAGGGGGAATTTTGTGAGGCTCAGCTGATGCAAGTCAGTGTGCTCCAACTGTGTGGTTCGCGGCGTAAAAAACAACAACCAATCAACCAACCATAGAAACAAACAAACAAACAGACAAAACGATTAGCTAATTTCACTGCAACATATTACATATTCAATATTAATGCTACAATCATATGAATTCTTCTGATGATCTTTTCCAGATATTTTAAATCTACATTTTCCAAGCAATAAAGCCATAGCTGACAAAAGTATTATGTTCCCAACCTGGCTTACTTAATCACCAGATAAAATAGAATTAGCTACTTTGAATTTTGAAAATTTCTTCATTTTAGACGAATTCGTAATAACAATGTTTGTTTTAAATATTCGTTATTGCAATCATATAACCGTTGCTCCATTTTATGGGCTCATTATTTGAGAAATTACGTTTACAGAATATATTTGTTACTTTGGAAAACATGCCGTTTGCATATATAACACAAGGCCCAGAACTCTTTTACAGTGAGTGAGGGAATTTAGTTTTACGCCGCTGTTAGCAATATTCCAACAAAGTCGCGGCGGGGGACACCAGAAATAGACTTCACATATTGCACCCACGTGGGGAATCGACCCCGGGACTTTGGCGTGACGAGCCACCCCTACCCTGTTTGAAGATGAATGTGGACGATCCGATGCTTTTACGGTATCAATGATGACGAGTTTTAAAGATCCAGAAATAATGCTTCAACATGTGTGAATATCTGTGCTCGTATGTAGGACACAATGTTCCCCTACCTACATGGTACACAAATACTATAAAAACAAGCAACTGTCCTCATAGTAATTAACAACAAATCTAACGTTAAAAACACGAAAACAACAATCCCCCCTCCACACCCCCTATTAAAACAAAACCAAACAAATCGAAAACCAAAACAAAACAAAAACAGAAAAAAACCCCAAAACCCCAACACCCTAAAATAGACCCCTAAATGATGCATGGTTTTGGTGATTTCATGTAAAATTGACAAAAATAATTTACCTATTCATCTGCAACTGAAACATTTATAGCTATTCACTCACATAACCCAAGGAAATTGTAATTTGTATTGCTTTACTGTAGCAACAACAAAAGCATACATATCTACCGGTGACCCTCTCTATGAGGCTTGTGCAATACGGTATTAGTTGGCCCTCATCTCGGGTATGACTACCCTCCCTCCCCTTTACCCCCAACTCCTCTCAGGCTGTCCCGGAAGAAGAGCTCGTAGGGTCAGCGAGTTGTGTCATTCAAAAATATCCAGGGAGACATGAATGGACGTCGGGTATGATATAGTTTTGCCTCACTGTGTTTGGCCCCAAACGCTTGTGTTTTTATCATGGTTTTGTCAGGTTTTTATGTCGATTTTATTAATTTTATAACTAGCGCAGTATTGTGAGATACTGTCAAATAACCCAGTTTGATATTTGATGATAAAACAGTGCAAATGTTGTATACCAACCGTTCTAAATCTACGACAAGCTATGGCTGTTAAAGGTAAACTGATTAGCCATACTGAGTATCTCCAAAAATAAATTAAATAAATAAATAAATAAATAAATAAATAAATAAATAAATAAATAAATAAATAATGAAGGTCCCCCTTTTGATGTAACGGTGATGACGCTGTTATGTATATTTTCAGGTAAAATAACATATCTATTGTCTATTAAGTTCATGTTGTTACATTGACATATTGCCTTAAACTATAATTACGCAATACGTCGTCTAAAAAGGTGCAGTTAAGATTTGAGAGGCACAAGTAATGCATTGCTGTCTCATGGAATTTCCAGATTCTAACATTTTCGAAAATATACCCCGATCAACCATGCGATCATGTTATTTAGAAACATATTTTTTTAATAATTACACTGAACTACTACTACTACTACTACTACTACTACTACTATTATTATTATTATTATTTATTGTTTATAACTGCTACCGTTGCTGCTGCTTGTGAAGTTTGAAAAAAAAGTTTCCTGAGACGTAATTTCTTTTTTTATGACAATTACACTAAACTACAACTACTACTACTGCTGCTGCTACTACTGCTACTACTACTACTACTACTACTACTACTACTACTACTACTACTACTACTACTACCAGTATTACTGCTACCCTTGTTGCTGTTTGTGAAGTTAGAAAATATGTCCACAGTTCGACCAACCAAATTTAACAACCAATCGATAATTTGTAACCCCGAACTAACATTCATACCAAATCGTAAAATTAGGTTAAAGAATGTAAATATATGAAAGAATATTATCATTTGACAAAACACACAGATGATATATAAGTACACGCGTCACAATGAAATAACGTGAAATCTCGTTATGACCGAGACCAAAGAATGATACTCACCAAGACTAGTTGGCACTAAGGGAGTGTTGTACGGCGTTGAGGTGACGGGAGGGGGGACCGGCACTGTGGTGGTCCATGGCATGTACATTGAGGGTCTCGACTCGTCACGGCCCGGTGCTGTAAGGAGCATGATCATGTCTAAGGCAGTATCATTTGGCGGGCTTTCGTACACACTGGGAACCGGAACGATTGAACAGGAAGTAGTGCTGAATATTCACGAGCTCTTCCGGCTGACAGTGGGCGGGGCTTATTATGCTAATAAGACCGGATATAGTTTTGTATAAGATTTTATCAGCGTGTACCTGCGGTTTGACATTTGTGATGCGACACCTGGTGCTTTGTGACATGGAGTGTTGGGGTCCTTTAATGTAATTTTTAACAACATATTTAAAACATTCCTTTATGACGTCACAAATCAATATGGTTTCGCTAATCTAGGGCGTAGATGTAAGATACGCAGCGTGCGAAAAGGTTTCGGCTGGGTCAAAATAAAATACCTGTCCCTTGTGACGTCACGACTATGGGCGAAGCTATGATGCTCCCCGCATCTAGAATTCTATATATCCATTGATGAACATTCCGAAATAACAGTACATCAGCTCTGTTCATGAACATATCGGGGCGGTGGGTAGCCTAGTGGTTAAAGCGTTCGCTCGTCACGCCGATGCCCCGGGTTCGATTCCCCACATGGGTACACTGTGTGAAGCACATTTCTGGTGTCCACCCGCCGTGATATTGCTGAACTATTGCTAAAATATTGCTTAAAACTCACTCACCGTGATATTGCTGAAATATTGCTAAAAACTCACTCACTCACTCACTTACGAACATATCCATCAATTACCGGTTTAGTATTTCACATACTCCAGATGTGAATATTGACTCTATTCTGTGCTACGGAGATAAATAAACATTGTCTCCAGTATAAAATGAAGTTTAATCTGTAACGGTGTTTAGTACTTTCAATAAAAATAGCATAACATGTCTTCATGGGAACGTATGGTCACCAAGGTAACCTTTGTCTGTTTTACTGTTTCTATATCAAGAGTGCAGATAAAACTCGATGTCGTACCAGACAAACCAGTGGTTTATGTTAAGAACCACATCCCACGTCACTGGACTACGATGACACACAAGGGGTTAACGTAGCAACAATAAAAGCATCACCATGGCGACTACATCTTGAAATCAACTGTATCACCATTGCATATTGAACTCAAATTATCTTAAACAGTTAATAACGTCGATAATGTTTCAAAAAAGTTCAAACAGTATATTTTATTATATGGATTTTTTAAATTTGCTTCTTAACCTCTCGAACAATACATCCTCCGATTTTGAAGTTGCGAATGGCGCCAGTAATCGCCCGAAAGGGTTACATCCAAAAGTGCAACTTTGGAATGGAAAATAATTCTAAATATTAACAAATCCCCACCAGGCTTTGGAATCGGTCTGTGAGTGGGTGAGTGAGTGAGTGAGTTTGGTTTACGCCGCAACTAGTAATATTCCAGCAATATCACGACGGGGACACCAGAAATGAGCTTCACATATTGTACCCATATGGGGATTCGAACCTGGGTCGTCAGCGTGACGAGCGAACGCTTTAACCAATAGGCTACCGCACCACCCCGAATCGGTCTGTGATAAGAAGCAGGATGGATTTATGAGGCCTGGATGTGTACATTTGTAAACAATGCCTCTTTTCACATCGGACAGTCGTAGGCACAATATCCGGGATCGAATGACTTTCTGGGAGGTGCACTTGGAATATTGGTCATATGTCGGTCAAGGGTTATATAACGCCTCTTTGTTACTAATATACGCTTATGAATATTATAGCTGTCCTTGATCATTGTAGTGACGTGATCACGTTGTTGGTGGTAGTCGGAAACATACACGCCTTTACACTTCGTGTAGGTTGTGTTTATTTCTGTAATTAGACGAATGTAGGGAATTCCCATAAAATATCTTCAACACTGCTTTTGGAATGATGACGTTAGAGACCGTTCATAATTTGATGACCCTCTACTTTCCAAGAACATGGGTGACACTCCCCATTTCCCCAATTTTCACAGGTTATTGTGAAACATTTATTTTTAGTTACCTTCGTTGTGTATTAAAATGTACGGTTTTATGATGTTTCGGGAGTCTCGCTTGAACGGATCGGTGGGATAGTGTGCTTTTGTTGTTTAAGCAGCATTCAGCATTATTACAGCTTTATGACGGCAGTCTGTTAATAGTCGAGTCTGGGCCAGACAATCCAGTGATCAACAGCGTGAGCATTGATCTACGCGAATGGGATACGATGACATGTGTCAACCAAGTCACCGAACCTGACCACCCGATCCCGTTAGCTGCCTCTTACAAGCATGGATTGCTGAAGAACAGTTCAACCCGGCCCAGACTCGATAATGTATAGACCGCCGTCATATAGCTGGAATATTGCTGAGTGCGGCGTAAAACTAAACTCAGTCATTCACTCATTACTTCGTGACATACTGTTGAAAGTCGGGTGAAATTCAGGTCAGTTACTCATTTACAAAGGTATATTGACAGAATCTGTGACTGGATCCGATAGGACTCACTTTAATCAGTCTAAATTGATTTTATATACAGGCCAAGACTCACTCACTCACTCATGATAACCACCCACAGTCTCACTCCCTCGCTCATTCACACATGATCACAACCACCCATCACTTTACACACTTATCACAACTTTAGCGCTGAGTTCCTGGTTATGCAAATAAAATAAGCAAATCAATAAATTTACTGAACGTGTACAACTTCAGTTGAGTCAAGGAAAACCGACAACAATGTTCCCCGCCATTCCAAAATCAAACCAACTTGAACGCTGCTTTCTGCAAGAGTTGGATTTAAACTTAAGGGCTTACATAATTTACGACCACGCGCTGATGTTAAACAGATACATCCTAGTTATCGAAATCCTAAAATTTGAATTTCAGTAGAGGAAAATTTTAAATCCATAGATTCATCTGCACAAATGTAACTTTGTTAAGATGCAAGTGATTGTTTCTGTGAGCCTGGTCTAGATCAGAACACTTCTATTTCGTATGTGGAATTAGTCTCATATTCTAGGGCGGCAGAATGGAGGCAATTTTCAGTAAAATTATTAGTTTAAATTGTTTTTTTGAAACACTATCACTTTCAGACAGATCACAGGTCCTAAAAATATATGACATTGTGTAATATAACGATTCTATTCATTTTGGCAACACGGAAGTGCAAAATGAAAAAACAATATCCCATCGAACAACATCAATAATATGATTGAAAGGGGTTACGGAATGTGTTTTCCATCATAAGGAAGTTTTCACTGTTCTGTTTGAAGAGGAACAGATCGATCAACTGCAGCCTGTATTGTTTCTCGTGTAATCTGACTGACTGAGTTTAGTTTTACGCCGCTTTTAGCAATATTCCAGCAATATCACGGCGGGCGACACCAGAAATGGGCTTAACACATTGTGCCCATGTGGGGAATCGAACCCGGGTCTTCGGCGTGACGAGCCAACGCTTTAACCACTAGGCTACCCCACCGCCCCTTCTCGTGTAATCAACAATCGATACCGTTAATACCGGGTAGTTCAATAATGCATCTGCATAGTAACCAACTGACTCCCATGTCAATAAATAGTTCAATATTGCATCTCCATCGTATCAAACTAACAGCGCTGTTAACCGACAGTACGAAATATGCATCTCTCAAGCAGTCAGTATGAATCTCTGTTAAGAAATGGAACAATTATGCATCTCTCTAACAATCAATATGAATCTCTGTTAACAAGTAGTACATTTTTTTAATCTATCTAACAATCAACACGAATCCCTGTAAGGAAATGGTGCAGTTGTGCAAGGTAATCAATGCCAGTGTAAACAGAACAATACTATATCTACATCGTAGCCAACCATCTGATGCAGCTCAATTGTTTTTATCCAGTATCTTGGCTAATGTCGGATTTCCGATCTCATGATCTCAGACAGGTTAAAATACACGTGCTGCACGATGAATGTTCTCCAGCCATGATGTCAGACAGGATTAACTGCACATGCTGTACAATTAATGTGCACCACTCATGATCTCAGACAGGATTAAATACACGTGCTGCACAATTAATGTGCACCACTCATGATCTCAGACAGGATTAAATACACGTGCTGCACAATGAATATTCTCCAGCCATGATGTCAGACAGGATTAACTGCACATGCTGTACAATTAATGTGCACCACTCATGATCTCAGACAGGATTAAATACACGTGCTGCACAATTAATGTGCACCACTCATGATCTCAGACAGGATTAAATACACGTGCTGCACAATTAATGTGCACCACTCATGATCTCAGACAGGATTAAATACACGTGCTGCACGATGAATGTTCTCCAGCCATGATGTCAGACAGGATTAACTGCACATGCTGTACAATGAATGTGCACCACTCATGATCTCAGACAGGATTAAATACACGTGCTGCACAATTAATGTGCACCACTCATGATCTCAGACAGGATTAAATAAACGTGCTGCACAACGAATGTGCACCACTCATGATCTCAGACAGGATTAAATACACGTGCTGCACAATTAATGTGCACCACTCATGATCTCAGACAGGATTAAATACACGTGCTGCACAATTAATGTGCACCACTCATGATCTCAGACAGGATTAAATACACGTGCTGCACAATTAATGTGCACCACTCATGATCTCAGACAGGATTAAACACGTGCTGCACAATTAATGTGCACCACTCATAATCTCAGACAGGATTAAATACACGTGCTGCACAATTAATGTGCACCACTCATGATCTCAGACAGGATTAAATACACGTGCTGCACAATTAATGTGCACCACTCATGATCTCAGACAGGATTAAATACACATGCTGTACAATTAATGTGCACCACTCATGATCTCAGACAGGATTAAATACACGTGCTGCACAATTAATGTGCACCACTCATGATCTCAGACAGGATTAAATACACGTGCTGCACAATTAATGTGCACCACTCATGATCTCAGACAGGATTAAATACACGTGCTGCACAACGAATGTCCACCAGTCATTATCTCATGACAGGAT